AAAGACAATGAGGAGAAGAATGCCCTAAAAAGCAAAATTGGCCAAATGGAAAAGGAAGTCCAAAAGCTTACTGAAAAAAATACTTCCTTAAAAATTAGAATGGAGAAATTGGAAGTTAGTGACAATTTGAGAAATCAAGGCACTGTAACACTAATTCAAAGGAATGAAAAAATAGAAGAGAATGTGAAATATCTCATTGGAAAAACAACTAACCTGGAAAATAGATCCAGGAGAGAACTTAAAAATTATTGGACTATCTGAAAGCCATGATCAAAAAAACAGCTTGGACATCTTTCAAGAAATTATCAAGGAAAACTGTCCTGATATTTTAGAACCAGAAGGCAAACTAGAGATTGAAATAATCCACCAATCACCTCCTGAAAGAGATCCCCAAAGGAAAACTTCTAGGAATCTTGTAGCCAAATTCCAGAATTCCCAGGTCAAGGAGAAGATATTGCAAGCAGCCAGAAGGAAACAATTCAAGTAGTGTGGAAACACAATCAGGATAACACAAGATTTAGCAGCTTCTACATTAAGGGTCCAGAGGGCATGGAGTATGATATTCCGGAGGGCAAAGGAGATAGAACTACAACCTCAAATCACCTACTCAACAAAACTGAGCATAATTCTTCAGGGTAAAAAAAAATGGTCATTCAATGAAATCGGGGACTTTCAAGCATTCCTGTGGAAAAGACCAGAGCTGAATAGAAAATTTGACCTTCAAATACAAGACTCAAGTGAAACATGGAAGAGGTAAACAGGAAAGAGAAATCAAGAGACTTACTAAGGTTGAACTGTTTACATTATTGCAGGGAAAGATGATATTTGTAACTCATGAGTCTTTTGTCAGTATTAGGGTAGTGGGAGGGGAAAAAATTACATGTATGTATAGATAGATAGATGGAGGGCACAGGGGTGAGTTGAAGATGAAGGGGTGATATCTGGAAAATAAAATTAAGGAGTGAGAGAGTATTATACTGGGAGAAGGAGAAAGGGATAAGTCAAATGAGGTAAAATATCTCACATGAAATAGACAAGCAAAGGTTTTTACAGTGGAGGGGAAATGGGGGAAGGTGAGAGGGAATGAGTGAATCTTATTCTCATAGGATTTGGCTTAAAGAGGGAATAACATACACAATGAGGTATGGAAATCTATCTTACCCTGCAGGAAAATAAGGGGGGAACGGGACAAGAGAGCAGGGGGTTGAAAGAGGGGAGGGCTGATTGGGGAAGGGGATAATCAAAAGCAAACACTTCTGAGGAGGGACAGGGTCAAAAGAGAGAATAGAATAAATGGGGTGTAGGATAGGATGAAAGGAAATATACTTAGTTTTTCACAACAGGACTACTATGGAAGTGTTTTGCATGACTATACATCTATAACCTGTATCGAGATACTTGCCTTTTCTATGAGGGTGTGTGGGAAGGGAGGAAGGGAGAAAATTTGTAACCCAAAGTTTTAAAAACACATGTTAAAAATAAAAAATAAAATAAAATAAATTTTAAAAAGCAGAATAGGCTAAATGGAAAAGGAGGTACAAAAATCCCTAAAGAAAAGAACTCCCTAAAAACTAGAATTGGGCAGGTAGAAGCTAATGATTCCAGAAGACATCAAGAAATAATCAAAGTCAAAAGAATGAATAAAAGAAAATATGAAATATATCATTGGAAAAACAACTGGCTAGGAAAATAGATTGAGATCATTTAAGAATTATTAGACTACCTTAAAGCCATGATCAAAAAGGAGCCTAGAAATCATATTTCAATAAATTATCAAGAAAACTTCCCTGACATCTTAGATCCAATAGATAAAATAGAAATTGAAAGAATCCACCAATCATCTCCTGAAAGAGATGCCAAAATGAAGACTCCCAAGAATATTATAGCCAAATTTCAGAGCTTCCAGGTCAAGGAGAAAAAACTGTAAGCAGCCAGAAAGAAATAATCCAAATATCATGGAGCCACAGTCAGGATTACACAGGATTTGTCAACTTCCACATTAAAGGAGAAGGCTTGGAATATGATATTCCAGAAGGCAAAGGAGCTAGGATTACAACCAAGAATAACCTACCCAGTAAAACGAAGTATAATCCTTTAGGGAGGAAATGTATATTTAATGAAACAAAGGATTTGCAAGCATTCCTGATGAAAAGAACACAACAGAATAGAAAATATGGCATTCAGACAGAAGACTCAAGAGAACCATAAAAAAGATGGAACATTTAACTCCTAAGAACTTTATCATTATTATGGCAGTTAGAAGGAGTCTACAAACCCAAATTAACTACAAAGGACATATGAAGGAAGATGCTATCTGCATCCAGAGAAAGAGCTGATAAATAGAAGCATACAGGTATGAGTCGATTATGTTGAGAAATTCTCCAAAAATAATGTAGGATTGAGGAAGAGGGATACACTGGCAGAAAAGGGAAGGAAGAGGTAGAATGGTGGGTGGTGGCAGGCAATACTTGAATCTCAGTCTAACTGGAATTGTTTCAAAGAGAAAAGAATACACACACACACACACACACACACACACACACTCAGTTGGACATAGAAATCTATCTTACCCAATAGGGAAATGAAGGAGAAGTGGATAAAAGATATGGTGGAAGGGGTCAATAAAAAGGGAAAGCAGCTTAAGGATGATAGTGGTCAGAAGCAAAACAGACTTTTGAGGAGGGACTGGCTAAAAAGAGAGAGAAGAGAATAAACACAAGAAAATAGGATGGAGGGAAATACACAGTTAGTAATCATGACTGTGAATGGGAATGGGAGGAACTAACCCATAAAATAGAAGCAGATAGCAGAATGGATTAGAAACGAGAATCCAATAATATGTTGTATACAAGAAATATACTCAAAATAGAAAGACACACACAGAATTAAAATAAAGGGCTGGAGCTTCAGCTGAAGCAAAAAAGGCAAGGGTAGCAATCATGATCTCAGCCAAAGCAAAAAGCAACTTAATTAAAAGTGATAATCAGGGAAACTACATTTAACTAAAAAGTTACAATAGACAATGAGGTAATATAAAAAAAATATGCCAAGTTTCTCTGATAAAGGCCTCATTTCTCAAATGTATAGGGAACTGAGTCAATTTTTTTAAAGAGCCATTCTCCAATTGATAAATAGTCAAAAGGATATGAGAGGCAGTTTTCAGGAGAAGAAATCAAAGCTATCTATAGTCATATGCAAAAATGTTCTAAATCACTATTGATTAGAGAAAGCAAATCAAAACAACCTGAGGTACTACCTTATATCTATTAGAAATGACAGATGCTGGAGTGGATGAGGAAAAATAGGTACATTAATGGATTTTTGGCAGAGTAGTGAACTGGTCCAACCATTCTAGAAAACAATCTGGACCTATGCCCAAAGGCTTATAAAACTGGGCATACCCTTTGATCCAGCAATACCACTACTAGGTCTGTACACCAAAGAGATCAAAGGAATAAGAAAAGAACCTATATGTACAAGAATATTTATAGCAGCTCTTTTTGTAGTGGCAAAGAATTCATGATTCCATGACTCACCTTACACCTAGATTACTCAAATTGCTTCCTTTATAGAGCAAGGAATGGCATATTCAATTCAATTCAATAAGCATTTATTAAATGCCTATTACATTCAAGGCATTGCACTATGTACTGGTAAGGATACAAAGATAAAAATATTTTAATTTAATTTATTTTATTCTGAACTTAAGAAATAAAAGAAGTATGTCCATAATAGAATAGAATAGAAAAAAGATGATTGTAAATGAAACTGCAAATCTATTATGTACCATTTGCTATTCTTTTTAAAAATATAATAAAGTCATTGTATAACTTTCTTTTTTCCTTTTTTTCTTTCCTCCCTGCCCCCACCCTAAAGCTGGCTACCGTTAGACACAAATGTGAGTGTGTGTATTTGCATGTAAAACCATTCTATACATGCTTCTATTTATCAGCTTTTTCTCTGGACGCAGATAATATCTTCCTTCATATGTCCTTTGTGGTCAATTTGGGTATTTATAATAGTCAAAATGACTTAATCACTCAAAGTTGTTCTTAAAAAAAAACAGTATTGTGTGTTGTTGTCATATACAATGTTCTCTTGGTTCTGCTCATTTTACTCGTCATTATTTCATACAGGTTTATCTGTATTTTTCTGAGATCATCAAGCTCATCGTTTCTTATAGCACAGTAGTATTCCATTATGCTCACATACCACAACTTGTTCAGCCATTCCCCAGTTGATAGGCATCCCTGCAATTTCCTGCTCTTTGCCAGGAAGAGAACTGCTATGGATATTTTAGAACATATAGGTTCTTTTCCTTTTTCCCTAATCATCTTGGGAAACAAATCTAGTGGTGGTATTGCTGAGTCAAAGGGTATAGACAGTTGGATAACTCTTTGAGTATAATTCCAGATTGTTCTCCAGAAATATAAAAATAAAAGTCCTTATTCTAGCAAGCCAAATGGGAACTGAGAATGCATGGAGAAGTAACATGAAATATTGTGAAATTGAAGTGGAAACAAGATTATGGAGGTCTTTTTAATAATATGGTATCTTATCTTAAAGGAAGTAGGAAAGCCACTGAAGAATTTTAAGTAGGGAATAGCACGATCACATTTGAGTTGAGTTTTTAGTACAATCAAATTGACAACCAGGTAGCTGATGAAATGGAAAGCTGAGAGGATGAGAGGAGGGAGAGTAATTAGGAAATTACTCATGCAAGCAAGAGAGTTTGTGTGAGTAGAGGGAGAGAAACAGATGAGAGAGATGTTGAGGAGGTGGAATCAGCAAGACTTGACAACTCATTGGATAGGGAAGATGCTAGGAAGGAAGAGTCATTGTGAATCTGGCTAGCAGAGTGGTGGTATCCTCAACAGAAATAGCAAAATCTGGAGGAGAAATGATTTCAGGAGAAAATATGACAAGCTCTGTTTTTGATATGTGGGGTTTTTAATGCCTACTAAAGATGTAAGGAGTTAGTTAATGATGTAGTGCTTATATTCAGGGGATAGATTAGCACATATTAGCATTCTATGAGCTGCTGACAAAGAAGAATTGCTTTTTCTATGCCCAACAAGAGTACACATATCTAGCATGCACTCCATTTTGAGTACATGGCAGCATCCAGTTATTCAGATGGCCCCATCCAGGAGTAGGATGTTTGGTGGTGGGATAAGTCACTGGGTATCTTTGAGTTCAGGACTTAGGTGTTTTTTCTTAACTCAGCGAATTCTGGAGATTTTTCCAGTTCTTCAATCTTGGAGAGAGGAAAGAAGAGAAGGAAAGAGTTGTTGAAAATGCCTATGAAATTAACTATGAAATCCTCCAATTTCCTCTAGGAGGTTAAAGATAAGAATCATCTAGAGCTTAAGATTCTATCCAAATGTCTCATGTCTAGGACTATATTGCTAAATAGTACAGAGAATAGAAATTTTATTTTTCTAAATTCCCTGTTGTGATTGATGCTAACTAATTATGTTTTTATTTAGTGATTTCCATTAAACATTTGGTCCACAGAGCAATTCGCATCCTGTAGCTAATGCCGTTAACTACATCCTACTCCCTCAACTCCAGGTTCTGCCCATTCCCATTCTAGACCCTCAAGGCTAAAGGAGACCATGAAAACAGAGTCCATGTTAGCCTCTTAGGGGCCTGAGCACAAGGCAGTGATGTGCTCAATGCTTGGGCAGCTGCCATACCATCATTGCCATCTCCTCCCAACCCAGCCCAGCCTGGGCATCAAAGCACAAAGTTGGGGATGGGGGAAGATACACACAAGCAAACCTGCCAATGCCCAAACACAGATATGGCAAGGGCTTTCAGATTTCCCCTCACCATCACCCTTAACTTAAGAATGAGTCCAATGTCCCTGAAATTTCTTTTCTAGAGAGTTAGTAGGACTTAAAAGCTGAAAGGGACACTGTATAGATGACACCCTATGCAGATCTCCTAAAGTGGGAGCAATTCTACCAAAAAGAGATTTCTAATATCACCACGTAGTCTTCTTGAGGGGGCAGCTGGGTGGTGCAATGGATAGAGCACCAGGCCTACAGTCAGGAATATCTGAGTTCAAATCTGTCCTCAGATATTGACTAGCTGTGTGATCATGAGAAAGTCACTTAACCCTGTTTGCCTCAGTTTCCTCATATGTAAAATGATCTGGAGAAGGAAATGACTAACCACTCCAGTATCTTTGCCAAGAAAACCCCAAATGGGCTCACGGTCAGACATGACTGAAATGATTAAACATTAAAAACAACAACAATCTCCTTGAGAGCCAGGAATTATGTTACTGGACATGTTGTTGGAGTAAACATTCCAGGACCTGAGCTGGATTGTGCTGTGCCATCTACACTCTCTCTTTGGGTTTGCCTCTTGGCCAAGGCCACACACAGTGAAATGGTGGGTCTGAGCTACAAACTGTGCAGTTTCTCAGCTTAGGGACACAGTTCTCCAGAAACAGGAAGAGAAAGTAAACTTAGCTAGAGCTACTCTCTAGACCTGGCATCACAGAAGCATCGCTGGTTCTTTGCACTTTGAAATGTGGCATGGCTGCATAGCCACAAAAGGTAGCACCCTGACTGTCAACAGAACTATAAGCAATGCCCATAACTCACAGGCCACTTCTAGGCCTCTCCCTTCCTCTTGCTGCATAGGTTTGATCTTCTCCTACACACTTCCCCTTCCATCACTGTGGTAGAAGCAGCATCTGTTTTATGTATTCTGGCTTGGCTTCCCTTTAAGGGGGCAAAGAGGTCTTTCTCAGGATTTGGCTGGTACAGGTGACCAGAATGTCAACCACTGGCAAGGTTTCTGTGTTGCTCAAGGAATTAAAAAATCTCATGGTGCTTTCTGATGGGGACTTGGCAGGCTGGAAGATTAGTGGAATTTCCATTGCCCTTTGGGAGGTCTTTCTGACCCATGATTGCAAAGTCCATTTGAATTTGCAATTACTATTACTTTTAATCTTTTACCCTAAGGAATTTTTTTTATTGTGGTCCACAATTGTTTCATTATGTCGCAGTTCTAAGCCTGACTCATCGGACCGGCCTGAGTTAGGCTTGGCCCAGAACAACTCCGGCAATGCAGAAACTTACCAGCACCCAACTGCACTCAGTCACCGTCCTCCTCATCTGCTCCTATGCAATGGCTAAAGCTGTGGAGAGTTTTCCCTCTGGTACTGGGAAACAAAACATCCCATCTATAAATATTTTGTAACTCAGACCCACTGTTTCATTGTGTGTGGCCTTGGCCAAGGGGCAAACCCAAAAGGAGAGTGTAGATAGCATCGCACAATCCAGCCCAGGTCCTGGAACATTTACTCCAACAACGTGTCTAGTAACATAATTCCTGACTCTCAGGGAAGACTACTTAGTGATATTAGAAATCTCTTTTTTGTAGCTGTGTGACCCAGGGCAAGTCACTTAACCCCAATTGCCTAAAAAAACCTCTTTTTAGGAGAATTGCTCCCATTTTGAGAGGTCTGCATAGGGTGTCATTGATATGATGTCCCTTTCAGCTTTTGAGTCCTGCTTACTCTCAAGGAAAGAAATTTCAGTGACCTTGGACTCATTGTTAAGTTAGGAGAAGTGGTGAAGGGATATCTGAAAGTTCTTATACTCTGTGCACTTGTCATCTCTGTGTTTGGGCATTGGCAGGTTTTCTTGTGTGTATCTTCCCCTACCCCTGCCCCTTGTGCCTTGATGCCCAGGCTGGGCTGGGTTAGAAGGAGATGGCAATGATTGTATGGCAGGTGCCTGAGCATTGAACACATCATTGCCTTGTGCTCAGGCCCCTAAGAGGCTAATATAGGCTCTGTTTTCATGGAACAGTATCCTGAGGATGGATGAGCTCAAGGGTATGATGATCTGATAGGTTGAGGGAGTTAGCTTCCAATGCAAGGAATTTGGAAGAACAGATTTACCTTTGTTAATCCCCTCTAAACCTGTGCAAAGGCTCAGTTGAATTAGAAGTTTTGACCCAGGGTTGCCAGCATTTCTGGTTTGGGCTTCAGACAGAGACCAGTAGCTTTATCCCTGACTGATCAGGACAACAACAAGCCAACGGATGAGGAGACCAAGTGAGATGTGGCTTGAGGTATTTGATCAGGAGAACAGTGCTAAGAAACAGTCAAGCTCTTACCACTTTGCTGTGAGTAGTACGAGCAGATAGTATATCACTACTATCTGTCTCAGTTATTTTCTGGATCCCCTTAAACCACTTCTTGTATTCTTCCTGGACCTGAAAATTTAGGACACAGAGACAGGAATTTATTGCATCACATGACTTAAGTCAAAGAGTTCTTGGAAATTTCCTAGACCAGAAATTCTTCATCTTTTTTGTGCCATGGACCTCTGGCTAGAGGTAGCCGAGGGACAGAGCAGATAGAGTGTTGGACCTGGAGTCAGGAAGACCCAAGTTCAAATCTGGCCTCAGATACTTACTAGCTGTGTGACCCTGGGCAAGTCCCTAAACTTCTGTCTGCCTCAGTTTCCTCAACTGTAAAATGTGGATACTATTAGCAACTACCTCTTACAGTTGTTACAAAGATCAACTAAAATATTTATTGCTCTAAATCACTATTGATTAGAGAAATGTAAATCAAAACAACTCTGAAGTAGCACATCACACCTATCAGATTGCTAACATGACAAAACAGGAAAATGATAAATGTTAGAGAAGATGTGGGAAAATTGGAACACTAATGCATTAGGATCACAATCATAGTTTTGAACTGATCCAACCATTCTGGAGAGCAATTTGGAACTATGCCCGAAGGACTAAAAAATTGTGCATATCCTTTCACCCAGCAATACCACTTCTAGGGCTGTCTCCAAAAGAGATCATAAACAAAGGACCCACATGTACAAAAATATTTATAGCAGCTCTTTTTGTGCTGGCCAAGAATTGGAAATTAAAGGGATGGCCATCAATTGGGGAAAGACCGAACAAGTTGTGGTATATGAATGTAATGGAATACTCTTGTTCCATTAGAAACGATGAGCAGGTGGACTTCAGAAAAACCTGGAAAGACTTGTATGGACTGATGCTGAGTGAAGTGAGCAAAACCAGGAGAACATTGTACACAGTAACAGCAACATTATGCAAAGAATAACTTTGATAGACTTAGCTCTTCTCAGCAATGCAAGGATCTAAGACAACTCCAAAAGACTCATCATAGAAAATGCTATCCACATCTGGAAAAAGAACTATGGAGTCTGAATGCAGATTGAAACATACTATTTGGGGGCAATTCGCAGTGGATAGAGCACCGGCCCTGAAGTCAGGAGGATCTGAGTTCAAATCCAGCCTCAGACCCATAACACTAGCTGTGTGACCCTGGGCAAGTCACTTAACCCCATTGGCCTAGGCAAAAAAAAAGAAAGAGAGAGAGAGAGAACACTGAAGGAACAGTAAGTTCTCATCTCTCCTCTTTTTTTTGATTTCTTATGGTCAAACTGACAGGTTTTTAGCAAACTTTGCTTTCCTCTTCTGTAAAATGGAACTTTATCCTAACCCTTAAGCAAGTAGGTGCCATTTAGGTTCTGGTATGGCTAGTACTCTGTGATGGCCATTCTTTAGCCTGTGTAACCTTTGGAGCTGGATGAGAATATATCCCAATGGAATGGACTGCCTCAGGAGGGAGGGAGCTCCCTGCACTGAAGGCCTCTAAGGTGCTGACGTATGTGCTAGAAGAGCCTGCTGGCCAGGTGACTGGTTGCAGTAGGTGACTTCTAAGGTCCCTTCACACTCCTAGACTCTGTGATTCTGGAGATATGTCAGCGCCATTTTGTTGCCTTCTCCTTTGTACAAGGGCAGGCAATGTACTGTACTCAAAGCCTGAGCACAAACATTTCAAACTAGCCGCTTTGACAAAAGCATCTTCTGTGCCCTCTGTTCTTCTGGGAAATCTGGGTTCATTAAAGGAAGGATTCACTCAACTCTCTGCAACTTCAGTACATTTAAATGGTAGAAAACTGGTAACATGCAAACTGGGGGACACAGCAGGTGTGGGTTCCCCCAGACCCATGGTCAGAAGAAAGCAGGAGCACCCCACCTCCAGGCACCCAGAAAGAAGAACAACCAAAAAGGGTCTAGGAATGAGCCGGGGAAAATGAGGCACCAACAACCAGAAAAGAAGGGTTAGCTGTGGCTAGTGAGACAATTGAAGAAGGGTGATTTACCTGGCGATTGAGGACACAATGTACCAGGAAGATGTATACTCCCTGCAGGGAATTGGTGATGGTGAAGGTGTAGGCAATGACTGACCGGGCTGGCTCAGTTATAGAGTCAATCAGGAGAAAGCTGAGACTCCAGGAGCAGCCCAGGATGAAGAACTGAGCAAGAGCTTTAAAGGTCAGGGTCCTGTTTGAAGAAATAAAATAAAAGAAAATGTAAGAAACTCGGTATGCCTCCAAACACCTTGGCAAGTCGTATCCCTTCTCCAGGTCTTGATCATAAAAATGAGCAGCTGGACCAGATGATATCTAAGGGTCCTTCATGGACTAAATCTAGGATACTTTGTTCGTTACTAGAGCAGAGATATCCAACATAGGAACTATACACCACGGGAGGCATATAAGATGATCAGTGGGGGCACAGGAAGAAAATACAGATAGAGGCTTCCCTCCACCCTCTAGACAAAAGCAATGGCAACAGGAGGCTGCCAGTTCTTGCTTTACCATCCTCCAAGGGTTGGAAAGTGGTAGCACCTTGGAGAGACGGGTGAGGTCAGTGAAGAAGGCTAGCCATATCCAACTAAGATCAAGAATGGCCACTGGAAGGGGCAGCTAGGTGGCGCAGTGGATAGAGCACTGGCCCTGAAGTCAGGAGGACCTGAGTTCAAATCCGGCCTCAGACCAAACAGTTGACATGTACTAGCTGTGTGACCTTGGGCAAGTCACTTAACCCCTATTGCCTTAAAAAAAAATGGCCACTAGGCAAAAAAAAGATAAAAACAAAAGAATGGCTGGGATCCCACCTCACACTCAAGTGACTAAATGAAGGGATGAGGCCAAAGGAATGGGGCAGTCCTAGGGGTGCATTGGGTCTATTGGAGTGCCCCCTATTTCCTTTTTCCTTCCTTGGCTACATAATGAGAAGACTGGACTCATTGGAAAAGACTTTGATGTTGGGAAAGACTGAAAGCAAAAGGAAAAGAGGGCAACGGAGGAGGAGGATGGATAGATAATGTCATGGAAATCACTGACATGAACTCAGACAGACTTTAAGCGATAGTGGAGGAGAGAAGAGCCTGGGCATGCTATGGTCCATAGGGTCATAACAAGTCGGACATGACTGAATTACTCAGTAACAAAAACAACAACAGCAACAACCACTTCCTCTAAGCAACCATGTCTAAGCAAGGGGATTGGGGCCACAGAGGTCCAACAAGAATCAGCCAGGAAAGCAGAGCCTAGGAGACATGAAATGATAGAGGTGGAGGCGGCAGCAGCAGCAGGAGGGGCACATGGTCATGTGCATCAGATGATCACTGGGAGAAACCAGTCTAGGGTGCTGACCAAGCAGTCAGCAAGCATTATTTATATTTATATTAGTACCAAGTACTAGGGATATAAAGACAAAAAATGGAAGTCACTTCCTTCAAGAAGCTTACATACAAAGGACAAACAACAACAATTCTATGCGGTATATTATGTTCTATAATTGGTATATACAAAATAAACACCAGATAATTTTAGGAGTGAGGAACTAGCAACCCGGGGGAGGAATTAGATCAGGAAAGGCTTCATGTGGAAGGTGGTATTCAAGCTAAGCCCTAAATAAAACTATTACAAATAAATATATATATATACATATATGTACATACATATATACATATATATAATCTAATACATATATATATATATGGATGGAGGTGAGAAGGGAGGGAGTACATTCCAGTCATGGGAAATTGCCAATGCAAAAGTCCAAAGATGGGAAATGAAGCATATGATGAACAATAACATCTATTTAGCGGAGGTGTAAAGTGTATAAAGGGGAATAATAAAGCAGGAAAAGCAGGTTGGCTGCAGGTTGTGAAGGGCTTTCAAGGATAAATAGAAACCTTCAAAGAAGAGATCAATGAATTGTCAAATTATTCCCAAACAAAGATTGTCTGTAATGAGGATGGATATCAAGATATTGAGAAAGAGGTAGAAAATGAAGATGGAAAATCACAGGGCTGGGTGGATTTCCGTTCCCTGATTAGCTCTGCAGATGACTCATTCTCAGTTTCATTTGGTAGGGGAAAATAAGTGGGACCCTGAAGCTTCATCTCCCAAACAACTCTGTGGCCTCCCTGTGGGCCATGAGTCATTTGGTTCATGACCTTCAAGAACCTCCTGTAACATTCCAGCTAAATGTGGCTGCTGAGTTAGTCCAGGCTCCCACTTCCCTAGGGCTTCCACTCCTCTAGGGCTCCAGTAGATGAAATTAAAGAAAATAGGAGATGGTAAAGAATTGGAATGGGTCTTTGGGGCATGTCTGTGATATGATATCCTCTGCTATTAATTGTCCAGTCCCTACAGATGAAGATGGACTCTGGCCATATTCTTCAGAAGCTTGTCAGAAAAGAAGTGCCCTATTTCAACCAACTGGACCCTTTCAATGAATAACTAAGTTTGCTGCTAAATATAGATGCTCCCACGACAGAGGAAGACACATTCACATATCTCAGAACCCCAAAGACAAGGAAGACAGGAAGGTGGCTCAAGAGAAACATGTTCTTGCCAAACTCCATGATTGAAGAAAGAATGGTTGGAATCTGCATGAACTCCAAGTACGTCCAAAAAACGTTACGGAGGAAAAGCTAGAAGACAGCACAGCATGACTTCCTAATGAAAATTAATTATCTGGAGAATTGTGGTTACCTTATTATTGATAGAAATTATTATGATTCCTCAAAAGCAGGGAAAAGATTAATTGAATCAAGACCTGAATGCATAATGCACCAAGCAGTTTGATAAGGGAGACTTGGTACGTAGAGGTGGGAGAAAGTCACTTGAATTCTATCCTACCCGAGGTAGATTAAAAGCATTGGCCAGAGGCAAAAGTCATGCTCATGGAGAGGAGGAGTGGGAAAGAATGGTTCTACCCAATAAAGGGGGTGGGAGCAAGAAGAGAAAGAACTGCTAGTTCTTCTCAGTCAAACACCTCCTACCTTTTAACCACTAAAGACTAATATTGAGGGAATGTGCTTTTACTGATTGTATATCCAAAAAAAAGTTGAAGACCACTGGACTTGAGGATTTCTAATGTCCCCTCCAACTCTGTTCTGTAAAATAGGAAGACGCTTGGATTTGAAGTTCAAAACCTAGCTAGGCTACTTACTACTTGAGTTACTTAGGGCAATTAACTTCTCTCTGGGCCTCAGTTTCCCGATATAAAATGAGAAGGTTGGATGTCAAAGATCTTTTCCAGTTCTAAATACAGTTCAATGAAAACGGAATTAGAATTTGTCTCAGTGATTTTATATAAAAACACATTAGACAAACACAAAAATATTTCCTGAATTTCCCCTCCACTCTTCCCTCTTACAGCCCAGGGAGATCCACACCAGAATTTCTCTAAGTTTTTATAAATATAATTCCCCCAGAAGTGTTATCACAAGCTTAAGTCATAGGGCCCTTCTCATTTGGGTATCTTCTCACCTTGTGTTTTGGATGGTGGACACATCTTTGTTGAGGGAGGAGAGTCTTTCTCTCAAAATCCACAGGATTATCAAATAAAAGACAAAGTTAAACTGGAAAACAAACAAACCATAAAATATTAACATGAGGGTTATTATTTTTAGTTTTTGCTGTTTCATGGAAATAGAGTGCTTCATAGTAACAGCAAAATTGTTCGATGATCAACTGTGATAGACTTAGCTCTTCTCATCAATACAATAGTTCAAGACAGTTCCAAAAGACTCATGATGGAAAATGCTATCCGTTTCTAGAGAACTGATAGTTGTCTGAATGCAGATCAAAACATATTACTTTTCATTTTATTTTTGTTTTTTGTTCTTTCTTTCTCATTGTTCTTCCCTTTGGTTCTGATTCTTTTTTTTTTTTACAACATGACTAATATGGAAATATGTTTGACATGATTGTGCATGAGTAACCTATATCAGATTGCTTGCTGTCTTGAGGAGGGGGGAGGGGAGGGAGAAGGGAAGGGAAGAAACGAGAAAAATTTGGAACTCAAAATCTTATAAAAAATGAATGTTGAAACCTATCTCTACATGTAATTGGAAAAATAAAAATAAAAATACTGTTTAAAAAAAGAAGAAGGAAAGAAATAAGGTGATTCAGAGGCAAGTGATCTGGGATTGAGGTGTGCTAGAACCAGTTCATCCTGGTTTGTGAAATTAGATAGCTAAATGTTCAATGTGAGCATTTACACATTGGAAATCAGCAAAAGCTACAAATCAGGGTTTGATTTAATGTTTTATTGATTGTCTGGACTTTAAAAAGTGATTAATGTTAATAATACAGATTAACTTTTTAAAATTATTCTTATTTATTTTGTTAAGTATTTCCCAATTACAGTGTAAAAAATATTTTACAATCTTTTTTTTTAATTTTGAATTCTAAATTCTCTCTCCCTCCTGACCCTTCCCTCTCCTTGAGAAGGCAAGCAATTTGATTTCAATTATACATGTGAGGTCATGCAAAATATATTTTCCTCTTAGCCATGTATGCAAATTAAATTTAAAATGTATTGTGATTTAGCTCATTCTCAGCAATACAACAATCCAAGACAATTCCAAAGGACTCATGATGAAACTTGCTGCCCACCTCCAGAGAAAGAACTGATGTAGTATGAATGCAGATCAAAGCATACTACTTTTCACTTTCTTTAATTTTTTCATGTTTTTTTTTCTTTTGGTCTGTTTCTTCTTTCACAACATGACTAATATGGAAATATGTTTTACACAATTGCACATATATAACCCACATCAAATTGCTTACCATCTTACGGAGGGGAAAGTGAAAGTGGAAGGGAGAAAAACTGGAGTTCAAAATTTTAAAAAAAAAACAAATGTTAAAAATTGTCTTAGGGCAGCTAGGTGGTATAGTGGATAGAGTACTGGCCCTGGAGTCAGGAGGACATGAGTTCAAATCCAACCTCAGATGCTTACTAGCTGTGTGACCCTGAGCAAGTCTCTTAGCCCTGATTGCCTCAAAAAATTGAAAAAAAAAAAGACAAAAAAATTATCTTTACATGTAATTGGTAAAAATAAATAGACAGTTCAGTGGCACAATGAGTTGAGCACTGGCCTTGGAGTCAAGAGGACCTGAGTTCAAGTCCAGTCTCAGACACTTAACACTTACTAGCTGTGTGACCCTGGGCAAGTCACTTAACCACAATTACCTCACCAAAAAGACAAAAAGAAAGAAAGAAAACAAATAATGTTTTTTAAGTGTGTTGTACATACTTTTTTTTTTAGAGAGAGCCAGTTGTTAAACAGTTTCCGATGTACTCTTCCCAGAAGGAAATCTCATCTCTGATGTTCACTATCTGTGTGACCTTGAACAGATTACCTATTCTCTCTTAGACTCATTTGCCACCTATAAAATGCCTACCGCAGACTGGTGGTTCTAAGGCTAGTGAATGCACTCTAAACACTATACAAGTGTGAGTAATGATCATTATTTCCATTTCCTTTTTCAACAGGAGGAACTGTTAACACCCTCTTTCTTCTTCCACTTTTTTTTTCTTAAGTGGAAGGAATATATAGTGTGTGATATTCTAGACACCTCCTGGAAGTAGACCAGAAGGAGCACAATTAGAACACAACAGACAGTGACTACCAGAAATGACCAGGGCTTTCAAATGACAAGACAGGGAATGCTTTTATCCAATATAAATTCCTTCAAGTCAGTTAATAAGCATTTATTAAGTGCCTACCATATACCAAGCACTGTGCTAAGCACTAGCAATATGAAGAAAGGCAAAAACAGTCCTTACCTGCCAAGAGATCCCATTTTAATAGGGGAGACAACAGACAGACAACCTCATACAAACAAGAGTCTATAGGAGAAGCTGCAGATACTCTTGGAGGAAAAGCACTAACTAATGTTAAGAAGGATCAGGAAAGGCTTCTATATAAACAAGGGAAAAGCAATCAGCCCAGTTCAAGAGGAAGTGGGGTCATATTGTGATGGGAAGGACCTTGGATTTGGAATTGAAGGTTTTCATCTTGGTTCTTCTACTTTCTTGACCTTGTGCAAGTCATTTAACTTCTCTGGGCCTCAGTTTTCTCATCTATCAAATGGGGGCAAAGGGAGGAAGACTGGCATTGTTATTGTTCAATCATATGTGACCCCATTTGAGGTTCTCTTGGTAAACATACTGGAGTGGTTTTGCCATTTCCTTTTCTTGCTCATTTTATAGATGAGGAAACTGAGGCAAACTGGGTTAAATGACTTGCCCAGGGTAACAGAGCTAGTAACAATTTTAGGCCAGATTTGAACTCATGAAGATGAGTCTTCCTGATTCCACTTTGCCACCTAGCTACACAGCTAGGAGGTAGACTAGGTGATCTTTAAGGTCCCTTTCAGCTCTACAACTACAATCCTACAAAGGTCTCCTTCAATGTTTTATTGTGGAATGAAGGTAACTCTGATTCTCAAAGGAGGCATAAGTGGAATACAAGTTTTAGATAGATCTTACAAGCCTAGCACTGAACCACTATCCCTATTGTCTCTCAGGACCAACTTAGTTGATTTTGGGAAAGCTCATCACCCAAGTGAGGAGATCCTGGGTGACGATACATTTAGGCCACAGCAAATCATGGAAACTCCCTATTTTGGAGTCAACATCAATAAAAGAAAACACCCCACCCAGATAGAATTATGGGTCTAGGCAATAGCCTCTTCTATACATGCATATCTTGACCTGTTGGATCATGCCATAAAGTCTACAGAAGGGATGTTACAGGAAAAACCTCAGGGGATGTATTCCAAGCCTCTTTCTCAAAGCAAGCGGACTGTTAACGTCTCTTTTCAAAGGCTTGTCAATCACATGTTTTTTAAGGTGCTCATGATTCCAGGGGAGGCAGATGCTTTGGTCAAAATGTTAGACTAAAACAGGTCAGAGGATCACAGGTTTAGAGTTGGCAGGCAGCTCAGTGGTCTTCTAGTCCAAGCCACTCAGAGGAGGAAACCGAAGTCAAGACTGGTAAAATGGTTTATTTCTGCCAAGGTCACCCAGGAGTTCCAAGCATCCTAAAATGACACATCTAGAACTGAAAGGCTCAGAGGTCACCTCTTCTAACTCCCTCACTTCACAAATGAAGGAATTGAGGCCCAGGGTGGTTAAGTGACTTGTCCATGGTCAACCATGTAAGTATCAGAGGCAGGATTTGAATAATGGAGCCAAGATCAAACTCAGCTTTTCTGACTCCTGACCCAAGGTGCTTTCTGCTGTATCACACTGATTCTTGTTGTGCCATCAAAGTTTGTAGCAAGTTAAAATGGCATGATTTTTGGACTGTTGACTAGTCTTTTCTTCAAAGGCTAAGGCAAGGAATTCCATATACCCACCAAAAGTATGGCAATCACTGGTCCGACAAAACTCCAGATAAACCCTCTTTCTAGGGTGAGCCAGCAGCTAGGAAGAGGAAGAAAACAAATTTACTTAGGAGCAGACACAGAAAACAAAAGAAAGGAAACCCTCCCTTTCTCAGGTGACCGAAATACAGATCCAATTTTTATTGATAGTGTAGCCCTGAGACTATCTTTGCATTAGCTTTTACATCTGTCCCTAGGTCAGTTTGCCCTCTCCCCAGATATCGTCACCCCAGTTCAGGCCTTTGAGTGACTCACCTAGACCATTTCAATAGCTTCTTAACCAGGCTCTCTTCTTAGGGTCTTTCCCTTCTCCGAGCCATCATTCACAAAAGTGCTCTTGCAATCATCCTGATGTACTGTTCTTATTAGTCTCAATCCTATATATAAAACCCCCCAAATGTTCCCCTTTGTCTACTGAATAAAATATAAACTCCTAATTCTGGTATCCAAAGTTACTGAGTATCTAGCTCCAACCTACCTTTCCAATCTTATCTCAAACCCTTTCTCCTCTCAAGTACTACACTCCAAAATTGGACTATTTACTCTTCAACTTTCTCATCCTGTCCTTTACAGTCTCTTTGCCTTTGAACACTGTATCTCAGGTCAAGAATGGGATCTTCACTTCAACTCTTTCAGTCTCCCCAAGACACAACTTGGGAGTTACCTCTCCATGAAGCTTTCTCACATCTCTCTAGGTGAAAGTGATCTCTTCTTCCTCACATTTTTCATAACACTTAGTCTGATTCTCCCTCTTTGTGTTTAGAACAAGTATTTCCAAAGCCTCCTGGAAGTGACTGGAATACAAGTTCAGTGAGGTAGAGGGAAGCTAAGAAAGGAATATGGCTATCTATTCCACAAAATCTTTGAGTTGATGTTCCTACCTTCACCTTTGAAGAGAATTTCATATATAAGTTTCATTGATTTCAAGTAGAACAAAAAATTCCTATCCATATTCCCTTTGGAGTTTTCCTTCCAAGTGATAGAATTTAAGCAGATACTCCATGGGCACTGTAGCTACAGATATGCAAGACAGAGCATAGCAAAAGCCAGAATTGCTTCTGGAGAAGTTTGGGGGAGGGTAAGTGAATGACCTGAGACCTGGAGAACAAGAAGGAATGGGGGAAATTGAGGAAAGGCCATATTGGATTCAACACTGGTGAGACTGGTCACACCATGAACCACAGCGTTGATGAGATCACCTAGTGCCAATTCTGTTTTCCCTTGCTTTGTGTTGTCTCAGAATAGTTGTCAGGGAATTTTCATCAAGTCTCAAAGCTCAGAGGAGGAGAGGAGTAAAGGACTTGGATCCTGCTAGAGTAAATCCTTATGATTGCTATTCAAAAGTGCTTTACATCCTGTTTGTTAAGCTATCCTCAATAGTTCCTGTACTGTATTTCAATAAACCACATGGTCATAAAACACACACATACACACACATATACACACACACATGAATTGTCAACTCCTTCAAGAGAACTTGGTCATGAATGAAAAGGGGAGTTTCCAAATCAGGGAAATGGGACTTTAAACAGAAGTGAAGGGATTTTTTTATTTGGGGCAATTTAGAATATATTCCAGGTCATCTTCCCAGATCTATATATAACCTAGGGCCTGTTGTAGCTGCCTGGAGGTGGAGAGCTCAGGCCAGTAAGAGGGAACAGTAGATGACTGGTGTGTAATCAGAGCACCATCTTGTAGGCAATGATGGAATTGGGAAAAAATGCGCAAGTGTAGTCACTGGGTGGGTGGCCTCTAAATCAATGCCAAGTGTTGGCCACAATATACATTATACTCCTTTCTGGCTAATTAATTAATTGCATAGTAGTCTACTGATCTCTGTAGAATGCAGAAAATAAGGGAATGAGCCAGGGTATGAGTGAGAATTACTCTGGTAGCACCTCCAATTAGACACTTAGCCCACCCAACCTGTCACATATTTATGACATTCTGCCTAAAATGCTTATTTCTGAGTATCTCTCATTTCTGCAACTACATTAAACTCCATAATTGTCATTCTCATTTTTACATCCCCAGTGCCTAACACAGTGTATTTCATGTGGGAGGTGTTAAGTAAAACTTTAATTTTAATTTTATTCCTCAGCTTTTGACTTGACTTCTCTGAATGACAAATGCTTGTATGAAAAGTGGAGGCCTTGCACATCATCTTGGGGTAGGGGCAAGATGGGAAGAAAATTTAAAACTCAAAATCTTGTGGAAGTGAATGTTGAAAACTAAAAATAAATAAATTAATTTAAAAAAAGAATTGAAAAGTGGAGGCCATAGGCAGACATCATGTTGCCACAATGCTTAGGGCCAAGAAAGGCTGATACTGGAAAGAATTCTCTGAACTATATCTAGGAAAAGGCTGTGGCATATGCGGGCTCCCTAGAATGGCAATGTGACCTAGCATAGTCCTCGATAGCAGGAGGCATACATTTTAAAAGGATAGGGAACCTTGCAAGTCATTAAAATCCTGGCTCATGGGAGAAAGGTCTTGAATTGTGGAAATAAATTGGGAAACATGAAAAAAAGACTGAATTTTAGAACACAAATTGGGTTTGAAGTTATTCCATTGAGGAAATGCTATGACCTACTTACTGCTTAACTGTCCCATAGCCACGGGGGTCAATCCCTGCGGACACAGCCACTATCACAGCTGGGATCCCATAGCCGAAAGGGTACATGAATCTCTTCTTGAACCGGCTTGCACTGGTATAATTGGCAACTTTGAGGTTCCTGACAGTGAGAAAAAGGTACAGCCCTTCCAGGAACATCCAGGTGAAGGCGGCCAGGTATAGGTAATGCAACCCTCCAGCAATGATGGAACACAGGACCTAGGGAGGGGGGGAAATAGAAAAGATGGAGATGTTTGGTGGGTGCATGGAGGTTAACAACCACATGGGCTCACAAGGGCTGCCTCAGAGCAAGACAATGGGAGAATAACGTTCAGCCCTGTAGGTCTTTGGGGGAATTCTACTAAGAATCATGAAATTCTAGACTAAAAAGAGGCCTTGTGAGACTGCTTCATTCCTGCCCTAAACCATCCAAGAGCATGAGAAATATATTTCCTTTTTGAAAACAAACAGAAAAGAGAATTCCATAATGCCCCATTGTCCTCCATCTTGTGTTTATCAATCATTTTTAAGTGGAAAAAGCCAATGAACCTCATTTTGAGCAATTGATTTCCTCTGTAAAAGTTTCATGTAACTTCTACCTTCTCTGCTGTTTGGTCTATGCCAATAAGGAAGAGGAGATCGGCCAGAAAGAGGCACAGGGAGAGCTGCAGGTGAAGGGAGGTGCTGGTGCCCTGGATGGCTCGACACAGGATGAAGGTGAGGGCAGCCAGGAAAAGGCATAGCAGAGAGAGGCTCAGTCCCACGTAAGTGATCACTGTCAGCACACCATCCTCCACCTATGGCCCAACAAAGGAGAAATTCAAGTCAGTATTCTAGCTAACAGGGTGATATAGCCTTACATACCGGAAAGAGCATTGTCCTCAGAATCAGAAGGTCTGGATTTGAATCCTACCTCTGCCCCCTTAGGAGTACTTTGACCTTAAGTAAGTCACTTTACCTCTAGGATCTCCACGCCCTAATCTATAAGGGGAAGGGAATAAGCATTTATAAGTATCTACTAAGTGCCAGGCTGAGCAATTTTTATTTGATCCTTATAACAACCCTGGGAGATAGGTACCATTATCCCCATTTTACAGACGAGGAAACAGACTGAGAGATATTAAATAATAATAATAATGATAGCTAACATTTATGTTGTGCCTACTGTGTTCCAGGCTAAGCATTTTACAACTATTATCTCATTTGATCCTCACAACAACTCTGGCAGGTAGGTGCTACTATTATTTCCACTTTACAGATGAAGAAACTGAGGCAAATGGAGGTTAAGTGACTTGCCCAAGGTCACATACTGCTAGAAAATGTCCAAAGCAGGTCTTGAATTCAGGTTTCCCTGACTCCAGGACTCTATCCACGTTGGCATCAGCTGCTTCTCCCTCTATAAAACAAAGAGGCTAGACTTTACAATTCCCCAAGGCTTCTTTCGCATAATGACACGCTATAAAATTCCTGTCTCATATGCTTCTCAGCTCCTAGAATCTCACTGAAATGTGGGATGGGAATTTACTGTACTGTGAGATGTAGCATAGGATGAGAATTTCCATTAGAAAACTTGACAGCTAGGTGGTGTGATGAATAGAGTCCTAGACTTGGAGTCAGAAAGACCAGAGTTCAAATCCGGCCTCAGACACTTACTAGTTGTGTGACTCTGGGTAAGTCACTTAACTTCTATTTGCCTTAGCTTCCTCATATAAAAAGTAGAGCCAATAATAGCACCTACCTCCCAGAGTCATTGTAAGGATTACACTGTAGGAATGCTAGCTAGTGTTATTAGTTCGGAAAATTTCTGCAAATTTATTTTTTAAGCCTCAGGCTTGGCAAGGGATACCGAAAGCCCCATGGGGGTTGGCAATTTAATTCAACAAATATTTAATGAAAATATCTGCACAACGTATAAGGAAATGAGTAAAATTCAAACTCTACTTTGTAGAAACTTACATTCTAGTTGAATGAATGAATGAAACTTACATTCTAGCTGAATGAATGAATGAATGAATGAAATTTATATTCTAGTTGAATGAATGAATGAAACTTACATTCTAGTTAAATGAATGAATGAAACTTACATTCTAGTGTAGTCCTATGCTGTAGGACCCAGTGTGACTACTAGAAAGAATAGTGGACTGAAAGGCAGGAGACTAGATTTCAAATCCTAGAGTCACAAGTTCCTAGCAGCGTGACCTTGGTTGGATCAATTCTCCTCCACAGACAATAAGCCAAAGAGTCTGAACAAAATGTTCTCTAGGGCTCTCCCAAATTGAAGGTTTTGAAATAAATAGAAATTAGAAATGGAAGTAACTAGAAATGTGCGAAACTTTCTGATACGAGGCAGAACAAGGCAAGGGCTGGCAAAGGTAGAGGGTGAGATGAGGCTTCCTGGCAATGCCCAGATCTGAATGGGGTATAAGGACCGGGATACCTGGTCTGTGAAAGCCATCAAGAGCGCAAAGGTGGACAGGTGGCTGCAGTTGCAGCTGGTATGAGTGTCATTGGTTTTCAGCAGGTAACAGCCTTCTGTGGACCAGCTGGCCCCCTCATGGGTGCTCTTCCAGTAGACACAGAGGAACTGCTGACCTCTGCTGTAACCTTCCTGGGAAAAGAAGAACATTTGCATCTTTACTCGTGGTAATTTCTTGAGTGCCATTAACAAAGTACTGCTTCCCCTTCACCACCGTGGCAGAGGAAGGGGACCTTGAAGGATATCCAGATTAAATAAAGAATAAAATCTTGAGAGCCAGGAAAGAAGCCAAAATGGAAATGCTCATTTTAAATCCAAGACCAAGCCCAGGCTATCGCCAGTCATCCTGACTTTTGTCCTGCCGCTGGACTTTGATGACTCTGGAAGAGAGAGTGAGGCTGATGACTTTGTACAACTCTGCCTCACTTAAATCCAATCTACGCACAAGTCAAGATATCACCATGATGTCATTGGTCTTCTTTGAAAATGAAGGCCTAAGGGGCAGCTAGCTGGTGTAGTAGAAAGAGTACTGGCTCTGAAGTCTGGAGGACTTGAGTTCAAATCCAGCCTCAGACACTAGCTGTGTGACCCTGGGCAAGGCACTTAACCCTGCCTGTCTTCCAACCAAAAGAAAAAGAAAGACAAACAAAACAACAACCATGAATGGGAAAGAAAACTGGTTTGTAAGAAGTCAGGCCCCATCTACTGGTCACTTTGTAAATCACTAATAGGGCCCAGGAACAAGTTTGTGAGTCCAGCTTTAGGGATCGTGGATGGGGGGTAGAGTAAAAATGATATTGCCATTTGGAATGAAGGTCAATTAATCAACTAACAAGTATTTATCAAGCTCCTACCGCCACGTTTGAGGCCCCAGTAAGCACAATGAACGAAACAATCCTGAGCTCTGAGCTCCAATCATCGACTGCTTGTCACCTCAGCCAGTGCCATTCTTCCCTCTGAGCCTCAGTTTCCCTTGTATAAAATGAGGAGGTTGGACAAGATGATCTATAAGGTCCTCCCCAGCTCTATATTCACACCCATAGGCCTTGAGAATCCTGGCTTTCACTCACCTGAAGATGTTGAAAGGTCAGGATAGCAGAGCTGGTGAGAGTGCTGTCTTGTAAGCGTCCGATGATACCACTCACTACCCTGGAATTCATGGAAATACTGTCCATCTTCTGCAAATGCCTCTCCTCCTCAAAGAATGATCCATTGATGATGTCCCCCAGGGTAGAATAAGAGAGAAAAGCCACAGCACTTTGACCTGAGAAGAACAAATTAGAGCAAGGACTTCAAACTCCATTGGTCTCCTTGATTGGTGACCCAACTACGGCTGCTGGCGGTGGGGATGGAGAAGCGATGGAGGAAGGACTCCCCAGGGCTGCATCTGTGGGGGACAAGTCTCACCTAAACTATTCACTAGCCTAGCTGTCTGCCTCCACTGCATTTTAGGGCCTCAGTCCATTTTCCCAGAGACAGTTTATAAAAACTGATGAAAATGAGGACTGGACTGGGGTCAAGGGGAAGGAGAATGAGGCCTAGAGACCCTGAAGTAGATCCAGTGGGGGAAGACATGCAGCCAGTCAAGATGGGATTGTGTTGGGTTGGTTGGTTTTGTTTTTATAGGGAGCTTGCAACCAGCACACCGGCCCAGAAAGTAACTGACGATCATGAAAACCTTGTCATAGTGACCGTCTGACTAAAGCTTGTACATTTCCAACTTAAGGCTAAAACCATAGATGAAGAGGAGGGCCTCGAAACATCTACTGACAAGTTCTGATGCTCATTTTCTTCCCCGTCTCCTTGACTTTGTTATCCAGTCTGCCCGCCTGTCTGTCTGTCTGTGTCTCTGTTTCTCTTGGTCTCTGTCTCTCCTCTCTCCCTCCCTCACTTATCTTCTCTCTCTCTCTCTCTCTCTCTCTCTCTCTCTCTCTCTCCCCCCCTCCCCCTCTCCCCTCTCCTTCTCTCTTTCTCTGCTCTGTCTTTCTCTCCCCTCTCTGCGTTTCTCCTCTTCTTTGCCTCTTTCCTCTGTTTCTCTCCTCTCTCCCCTCCCCTCCCCTTCTCTCCCCTCCTCTTCTCTCCTCTTCTCTTCTCTCTCTCTGTCTCTCTCTCTCTCTCACACACACACACACATCACACAAACATACCACTCCAAATTTCCTATTGAATTCCTTCCCATCCTCTGAAGCCCAACTAAAATTTATCTCCTCCAAAAAGCTTTCCCACTCTATTCTGTTACCAAATCCTCTTCCTTCTTAGACCTCACAAAGCAGGTTGGCTCACACCTTTGCTGTGTATTTACTCTGTGTGTATGTGTGTGTGTGTGTGTGTGTGTGTGTGTGTGTGTATGTGTATGAAAGAGAGAGAGAGAGAGAGAGAGAAGAAGAATTGCTTAAATGCTTGCTGTGTACCAGACACTGTGGTAAGCATAGTGGAATATAAAGAAAGGGAAAAACAAGTCCCCACCTTCAGGGAGATCACAGTTTAATATGGGAAGGGGGAGGCAACAGGCAAATAACTTTGTACATAAAGACACATACAATGTAAATGGCAAGGAATTTCAGAAGGAAGGCCTTGCCTGAAAGGAGGAAGGGCTGGGCTCAAGAAAAGCTTCAAGCAGAACGAACAGATCTTGAAGGAAACTATAGAAGCAGGAGGTGGAAATGAGAGAGAGCATTTCAATCAGGAGAAGTAATGTCCTGTAAAAGGAGCAGGAAGTCACACTGACCTGCACATGGGTATTTTTCCCCTCACAGATTGGATGGTCCTGACTTTCCCCCCTTCCCTACTAGAAGCTCCCTGAAGGCAGGGGCCATGACTTCTCAACACTTCGTGTCTCCCCCAGTGCTGGTCACAGGATCCTCCATGCAGGAGACACTTAATGAACTCTTGTTGAACCAGACTAGTGAGTGCCCAATACATCATGCTCAAAACTCCATTGAAGTTTGACCCACTGTGGCACAGCTAAACCATTAGCAGCCACAAGACATCACTTTCTTTTCTGAATCTTCCTAGATTTTTTTTTTCTTTTAGTCAGCCAAACTGAAAACACAGGCAGAAAAGTTTCAGAAAATGAAAATAGCTGATGCATACACACAGAGACACAAACACACACACACACACACACACACTCACATTCATACACTTACATTCATACACACTCAGACATTAACACTCACACAGAGATATAGATTCACATGCTAACACACAGACACACACACTCTCACAGACCCACTGACACACAGCCACACACTAACACAGACATAAACAGACACACATTCACCCTCATACACACACACACACACACACACACACATGCATACAAATAGAAACAAAGAGAGAAAGTGGCAGATAGAAAGAGATTCTCCATTTTGCCCAACCGTGCTTTCATTCCATTATTTCTTGGTACCATGTCTGGAATACATGCTTTAAAGTAAAAAGCTTTGATCAAATGATTCTTCTCCTTCTCTAGGTTAGGAGGGGGCTGTAGTACTTGTGAAAAGCCTGAAAACGATAGAGAGCATTAAACTACGTCATGTACAATAAAGTTGTTCTCTTTGTAAAATATTTCATGGAGGTCAATGTTCAAAGCCTGTAGCAAAATCTCTGGTGGCAACAGGGTCTGGGTCAGAAAGGCAGAATCAACCACAGAATGACCAGGGATCACTAAGGGGAAATCCCCTCCTCCTCCCCCATTCCCTTACAACTACCACAGATGACAAGGAATAAGGCAAATGGGTTCTGGCCAAGGTGGATTTTAGGGACCACACATCTGGGGGTCCCACAGCCCCAGAGGGTCCCAGGCCCAGTGACCAAGGGACAAGGCCAATCCCATCGTATCATCAACATTTGACTACAGTGAGGGTCCCCTCATGATAGGCCAATTCTGAGTGCGCTGTCCCCACCCACCTGTGGTGCTTTCTCTGACGACTTCAGTACAATGGATGGCCATGGCATCTTCTCCAGCCTTCAGTGTGAAAATCTTCTCAGAGCATTTGTTGTCTGGAACAACTCGTGTGTCAGTAACTGGTGACAACAACCCCCCAGGAAAGAAAGTGAGTCTCTACAGGAAGCATAAAGTCTCTGAGTCAAAAGGGACCTCAGAGTTCATCCTATCCAATCCCTACTAATATTATGAGTCCCTTCCACAATACCCCTGATGAAGGGGCCTCTGGTTTTTACTTCTTTAAGTCTTTACTTCTTTATGGGACCAGACCCATTTCCTCTTCACAAAGCCAATGGTTTTAGAAACCTCTTGAGCACTAGTTGGGGGAGACAACAAGACTGCTTGTGGCACTAATGATGTTTCGCGTGGCCAGTATGAACTATGACCCCTGTCTTCAATTCCTTTTTGATTTAGTTTGGTCTTTGAACATGCTGGGCTAAGGCCAGGTTGCTGGCTTTGATCTGTGCAAGGTGAGAATGAGAATGAGAATTGCATATGAGAACAAGCATAAAGATGATGATTGAATCTATGAGAACTGAGGAGATCACAAAGTGGAGAAAAGAAGAGAACTCAGAACTCAGGCCTTATGGGACGCCCACCCTTCATGTGTGTGACCTCGATGAAGATTCAGCAAAGGAGACTGAGAAGGAGTAGTCAGACATGTAGGAGGAGAACCGGGAGAGAGCCGTGTCACGAAAACCTATAGAGAGCCAAGTATCAAGGAGAAGAGGGTGATAGACAGTGTCAAGGGTTGCAGAAAGATTAAGGATAAAATCTGTGAGATAAGACCATTGGATTTTGGCCACTAAGAAATAATGGGTATCTTTGAAAAGTGCAGTTTTAGCTGAATTATGAGGTCAAAAGCCAAAATGCAGAACATTGAGAGAGGGTGATAGCAAAGGAAACGGAAGCATCTACCATAGACAGCTTTTTCAAGGTTAGCCACAAAAGGGAGAAATATGAGGCAATAGCTAGTGGAGATGGATGGATCAAGTGAGGGTTTTCTGATGATAGAGGAGACCTGGGCATGTTTATAAGCAACAGGGAAGCAGCTGGTAAACACAGAGAGATTGAAGATTAGTGAGAGAGTGCAGATGATAGATAGATGGAGCAATCTGCAGGAGAAGACAGGATGGAATGGGACCGTGTGTACATATATAGGTTTGCCCTAGCAAGGAGAAGGGCCACTTCTTTATTTGAAACCAGGGTGAAGATAGAGGTGGAAAGCCTCCAAATGATGTGAGAGGGGGAGGGAAGAACAAGGACATCTTGACAAAGGGTTGCAATTTTTCAGTGAAATGAGACAAGGTTCTCAGTTGAGAGGGTGTGTCATGGAAGTCTGAGGAGGGATAAAAAGATCTGGAAGTGCCCTTGTGCTGAGTGGGATAGCAAATCCATTGGGGACGTGTGAAAGGATTGCTTTGCCAGAGTGAGACAGTTAAGATTATGTACTCTAATTTTGCAGTGGATCCAGTCATCATGGCTTCGTGATTTTTCTCCATCTTTCTTTAGTAACCTGTGAGATCTTTCTCATCTCTTGTTGGAAGACTCTTATTTGCAGGTTTCCCAACAGACAAGTGAAAAATGCAACATTTAAAAGAAATTTGCTTAATCATACGACTTTTCTCAAAAACAAGATTATCAACAAAACCAATGACATCAGCCGCTACACTTTGTCAGTTTAGAAACACACAAAACATGAAGAAACATCCTGTTACCTGTTATCTCCAAATCAGCCTGCCTAAGTTCAGAGAAATTAATATCAAAAAGGTTGGCCACAAATCGGTGATTTTTCAAACCATTTTTTTTGTTGGTGTTTAGTTGTTTCACTTGTGTCCAACTCTTCGTGACCTCATTTGAGGTTTTCACGGCAAAGATACTGGAGTGGTTTGCCATTTCCTTCTCCAACTCATTTTTCAGATGAGGAAACTGAGGCAAACAGGGTTAAGTGACTTGCCCAAGGTTACACAGATAGATTGAGACCAGATTTTTTTTAATTCAGGAAGATGAGTCTTCCTGACTCAAGGTCTGGCACTCTTTTCATTGTGTCACCTAGCTGAAAACCATCTACTTGTAGAGTGAAAAGTATAAATTGCATCTGTAGATTTGACTGTAGAGCTGACTGGCTGACTGCCCTGATGAAATCATGGATCCCCAGAACTATTGAAATAAATAAATAAAGGCCATTGATAGGGCTTGGTGGTGGAGAGAAATTTTACTTCTCCATAGAGATCTTCTCTGATGCCTCCTCATGGTTTCCAAGTGAGCCTGGGTTCTAGAAGCTCATGCCAGCAGACTCAAGCTGAAAATGCTTTGAGCATCATCAGGCAATAGACCCTGCCTTTGTGGTCCAAAGGTCAATCAAATGAAAAGCATTTATTGGGCATTCATATGTATTGGGCAGTGGGCTGACTACTAGGGGTGCAAAGAAAGACAGAACCATGACCCCTGCTCTCACGGGGCTCTTGGAAGACATGGAAAGCTCTGGTGAAGGAATCTGGGTGGCTTTCTCTTACCTACAAAATTGTCTGGTGCTTGTACTCCATTGTTAGACTTGAATGCACCTTCTAATACTGTGGTTTCCATTCTTTGAAGCAGATCGGTGGCTGAGAGGGCAATGGCACTTTTGTTTCCACTGAAGTGTGTATCATTAAATATGCTTAGAATATTTTCAGAAATCTGTGGCACCATTTGAGAAAAAAAAAGAATAAATCAAATAGTTACCTAAGAACTGGCACCCAGGAAGCCTGAAATGATGGTCAATGTAATGGGCTTAGAAACTTCTGTTCTCTCTCTGACTGTCTCTGTCTCTGTCTCTGTCTCTCTCTCTTTTTCTCTCTCTCCTCTATCTCTCTTCCACCCTCCCTTTCTCTTTCTCTCTCTCTTCATCACCTGAATAAAATACAATGATTCTATGAAGCCTCCTCACATCAGGAAGGCATGAGAGGAAACAGTGCAGCAATTGGTATAAGCTGTCTGAGGGAAGACTGAAGGAAATTTTAGAAGTGTATGGCTAATATGCCTACCCCACAGCACTTCTCTTCACAGGATCATTGAGCTTTGAAAGGTGTTTCAGGAATCATCTAGTCCAGGGGTGGGGAATCTGTGGCCTCGAGGCCACATGTGGCCCTCTAGGTCCTCAGGCGCAGCCCTTTGACAGAATCCAAACTTCACAGCACAAGTCCCTAAGGGGGAGGTGCTGAAGCAGGGAGGTTTGGTTCTGTTCTGAGGGTCTGAAGAATGGCAAGAGAAGAGACTACTGTAGAAAGGAGAAAGTAAGAGGTCGAATTTCCTATTCTCATGACTGTAGCACAGGAGAAGAAGAAAGGGATGGGGAAGGGGAGAGTGCATCAAATGGATATCACTCTGATCTGAAATAGACAAAGGAGGATTGAACATACACACACACACACACACACACACACACACACACACACACCACCATCACCAACACCGTCACCAACAACTTGATGTAGAAATACATCAAATGGGGGCAGCTAGGGGGCACAGTGGATTGAGCACCAGCCTTGGATTCAGGAGGACCTGAGTTCAAATCCGGCCTCAGACACATAACACTTACTAGCTGTGTGACCCTGGGCAAGTCACTTAACCCCATTGCCTAACCAAAAAAAAAAAAAGAAGAAGAAGAAGAAGAAATACATCAAATTCAACAGGAAAACAAGCAGAAATGGAGGGGGCAGTGTGGAAGGGTTAGAGAGAAGGTAACACTGGAAAAAACATAGTCACAAGCAAAGTACACTTCTTAATCCTAAAGGGGGAATTGAAAGGAGTAATAAAGAGAAAAAAAACTAGAATTTAAGGGGTCACCTTAGATTTCCTCAAACTATTGGAGAATGGCTGAAGAAATTGTAGCATATGAATTAATGGAATGTAATTGCATCGTAAAAGTGGGAGAAAAAAAAGATGATTTCAGACAATCTTGGATAGTATGAACTGATGCAGTGTACTAGAAGTACAATTCACATAGGAGCAGCAACATTGTAAAGAAAAGTAACTTTGAAAGCCTCAAAAATTGGTCAATGTCTCCAGAGGATCTACGATGAGATGCAGCTTTGTTACTTACCTCCTGAAAGAGAAGGTACAAAAAGAGATATACATTTTTGGACACAACTACTGTGTGTATTCATTTCGCTTAACAATGATTATTTGTTACAAAGAGTTTTTTTTATTTGTTTTGTTCGGTTTTTGATAGGGGTGACGGTAGAGGGAGTTTGGCAATAGTGATTTAAAAAAAGAACCATTTTAAAATGCAGAGAAAAGAAAGAAGTTCAGAAAGAAGCACAGACAAGAAGGATATAAATTAGCTACTTTCAAAAACTCTCCTTCTTGTATGTGTCTTCTTGTCTTCTAATTTATCATATAGGGTCTTTTTAATCAAGAATGGAAATTCACCATTTCACATAAAATTCTCTTCGGGATCTTAGCTGTGTGTATGGAAGTGTTCTCTCTGTCTCTTTTTCTGTCTCTCTGTCTCTCTGTCTCTCTGTCTCTCTCTCCCTCTCTCTCCCTCTGTCTCCCCCTCCCTCCCCTCTTCTCTCTTTTCCTCTTCTCTCTCCTCTCCTAACCCCTCTCCTCTCCTCTCTTTCTCCTCTATTTTTCTCTCCTTCCCTCTTTCCCTCTCTCTCTTCTTCTCTCTGTCTATGTCTCTCTGCCTGGAATAAGTTTTCCTCTGGCGACCTCACTGTGCCCATCTATCCAGTATGCACCCTGTGGCTCTTTGAAAATACAAATTGCGATGTCTCCACCAGTGTTCCCTGCTGTGTCTGTCTTGCTGGATGGTTAACGACACTTTGGGGCTATTTCTCAGACCACAGTTCTTCTACTCACCTGATTGCTGCCTTCAGAAGATGATGTATCTTTTGCAAAAGGGAAAGAGCAAGAAGGTTATCAGTTAGTGAATCGCAACATTGGAAAGGACTCAAGCTCAGCTAGTCCAACCCACAACTAAAAGAGGAATCAATCTCCTTTCCAACAGTCCCAACCAGTGAACATCAAGCGGCCACCACCTAAAACCCTCCAGGCAGGATAGCACCAATTGTGCAAGGCTTTCCCTTCTACTTAGGTAAGTTTTCCTCTTTGCAGCGTCAACTATGTTATGCCTTGTTCTGCTCCTCTGCCCTGATCCAGCCCTTCAAATACTTAGGATTATAGGTTTAGAGCCAGAGAAGACCTTTGAGGTCATTGAATCCAACCCATTCACTTGACATGTAAATAAAGGGAAGCCCAGAGAGGTTGTGACTTGTCTAGTGTCACACAGCTAGTAACTGTCTAACATAGGATTCAAATCAAATTATTCTTGTCCAGCATTCTATCCATTATCCCATACTGCACAGCTTCATACAGTTGTCATCACATAGCCCCTGAGTCTTCTCCTTTCTGCATCAAACATCCCCAGTCCCTTCAATCTACCCTCATATGGTATAGGATTCTTCATAACAGTTGCTCACTTCTGCATACTTTTAGGTTGTGACATTTTCTATTGCCCTCATACCAAGCTTGTTTCATTTCTTACAAATAATAGCTAGGTTATAGCTAGCACCTTATAGCCTTAAGATTTATACAGCCTCGTTCGATCCTCACCACAACCCTGGGAGGTAGGTACTATTATTATCCCCCTTTTACAGATGAGGAAACTGAGGCTGAAAGAAGTTAAGTGATGTGCCCAGGGTCACACAGCTAATAAGTGTTTGAAGCTCGATCTGAACATAAGTCTTCCTGACTCCAAGCCCAGCACTTTTTTACTGCTAGGCCACCTAGTTACCCCATGGAGCAGTCTGACAAGGGATCAGACCTTCTTGTTCTCTGTTGAAATTCTTCTTGTCCTACCAGTTTGTTTTACTGAAATGTTCTTACTTGCAAACTACACGTCTTCTCTTTTCCCCTTAGTTCTCTATCTTCTCTTTGGGTCCTTTTTCTCCTTTAGACCAAGTCCTCCTCTTCCTTCTGCTGCAATGCTTCTCTTCCAATGGCTCTCCAGACGCTCCCACATTCTCCCACTTTGCCACGCCCAAGTTCAGGCCTTCCCTCTAAACCACTTCTAGTCTTTTATAAATTCTGAGACTGGCCACATTTTCCTGATACACTAATAAAGAAAACAAAGAGGTCCTTACCTGGACAGGATTTGAAAAAACTAAAGAATGCATGGATTGCGTAGTATGAGCTGTAACAGCTACATTTATAATCTCCATCTCTATTGATACACACTTCATTTTTCCTACATATATCAGGGTCATGACATTCATCAATATCTGCAACAGAAGAGGGCACATGTTATCATTCCATTCATTCATTTAATCTATCCCTTCTTCTATCCATCTATCCTTCCATCCATCCATTCTTCTACCTCTCTCTTCATCCATCCCTCCCTTCATCTATCCATCAATCAATCTATCCATTCACTCAATTCATTTAACCAGCATTTGTGAAACTTATGCTTATGTGTCAGGTCCTAAGGATACAAAGATAAAAACAAAACAACAGTCCCTGACCACAAGCTGCTTCTGTATCACTGGGTGGAAACCACATACACACAGAAGAGTTGATATAAAATATATAAAAGGAAAAAACAAAGTAGTTTTGTCATAGACCAGAGAAATCGCACGTGATAGCATTTGAGGTGAGCCTTGAGTGAAGCAAGAGGGTTAAAGGACAGAGATGAGGAGGAAGTGCATTCCAGGCATAAGGGAAATGCTACCCAAAAAATGGAGGGCATGTCATATAGAGAAAGTAAAGAGGAGGCCAATTGAACTGGAACCCAGAAGGTGTGAACGGCAGTGTTGTGTAACTAGTCTGGAAAAACAGTTTGGCAATAAGATTAAGGAGAGCTTTAGATACCAGACAAAGAAGTTTGTCCCATATCCTAGAAGCAATAGGGAGCCATTTAAGCTTCTGGAGGAAGAAAGTAACATGGCCCTACTTGTGCCTTAGAAATATAATTTGCCACCGTACAGATGATGGATAAAGAGGGGAGATATTTGAGGCAAAGGTACATTTCAGGAGGGGTGATGAGGTCCTGAACTACAGTGGTAGACATGAGAGTGTAGAAGAGACAGGAGACAATGATGTTGTGGAAATAGAATTAATAAGACATGGCAACTGATTGAATATGGGTACAGAGGGGGAGTGAGGGAGAGAAGAGAGTCAAGAGAGAGGGAAATTCAAAGATGATGCCGACATTAGACGTCCAGTAGGATTACTGTTGAGAATGAGGCGAATGTTCCCTAAACAACTATGATATAGCCTTGCTATTGTCTGCTCCAAAATCCAGGAGCATGTTCAACCCCAGACATGCCAGGATGAACAAGTGATCAGGAGAGCATTCCTTCCCCTAGGTTTCCACATCTAATTAGTTCCCCCCTTTTTTTATCTACAGGCCTAAGCTCTGACTTTCAACTAGAAGAGGTTCCCATTATAATCACTTGACATACACACTACCACCTTATCCTGAAGGAGAAAATTTTGTGGCAAAAGAGATTGAAGTAGATAGACTCAAGCTGACCTGGGGAGTGGCAAAGTGGGAGAATGTGGGAGCATCTGGAGAGCCATTGGAAGAGAAGCATTGCAGCAGAAGGAAGAGGAGGACTCGGTCTAAAGGAGAAAAAGGACCCAAAGAGAAGATAGAGAAATAAGGGGAAAAGAGAAGGCGTGTAGTTTGCAAGTAAGAACATTTCAGTAAAACAAACTGGTAGGACAAGAAGAATTTCATGAGAGAAAGGAAGGAGAGTTAGGTGAGACTATCAAGTTGTTAAGGGTTGACAAAAGGGAGTAAAAAGAATGAAAAAAGGTAGAGATAGAAAGTGAAGAAAGGGAACTAACCCCTGAAAAAGGAGTTAAAGAGAGTAAAGGTATAAAGAGGGCAAAAAAAAAATTCTTATCCAATAAGAATAGAGTCAGGTGATCAGGAGGATGGCAGAGTGATTGTTTTTCACACACCTCTCCAACCTCAAGAAACCTCAAAAGAAAGAAATAGACCCCAAATATATAATTAAAGCTGAATTGACAAGATGGAAATCATGACCATCTGCACAAAACAAAAGCCTCATGAAATAATAGCAGAAAACTTAAACACTTAAAGTGTCCATTGATCATTCCAATTCCCAGCCCCGCCCATATTCTGGATGCAGCCAGCACAACCTCACAATCTGATATTCCTTATGTTTAACTGATATCGTACCATATACCACAGTAAGTTTAAAGAGGGTTTGCTGTTGTTGTTCAGCCATTTTTCAGTTGCATCCAACTCTTTGTGACCCCATTTGGGGTTTTCTTAGCAAAGATACTGGAAATGGTTGGCCATTTCCTTCTCCAGCTCATTTTATAGATGAGGAAACTGAGGCCAACAGGGTCACACAGCTAGTCAGTATCTGAGGCCAGATTTGAATTCATGAAGAAGAGTCTTCCTGACTCCAGGCCCCTACACTCTATCTACCACACAACCTAGCTGCCCCTTCAAGTGGATACGTGATCTAGATATAAAAAGGTTATATCATTTAAAATGTGGAGGAATATTGATGGAAGTACCTTTCACAAATGGCTAAATGGAAAATTCTTAATCAAATAAGGGACAGAGGAGATCATAGAAGTCTAAGAAACAGACAAATTTAATTACATGAACATAAAAAGCTTTTGCGTGAACAAAATACAGCTCAGATAATAAGAAAAATGATTGATTGGGAGAAATATTTGCATTGAATACCCCCAATTTTAAGGAATGAAGACAAATATATAAAACCAAGAATTATTTTCCAATCGATAAGTAGTCAAAGAATGCCTACACATTTCTTAAAAGAATTGCAAGCTATTAACAGCCATAGGAAAGACTGCTTTAAATAATTCATCACAAAAATGCAAATTAAAGTAATTCTGTGGTTTTCCTTATACCCAGTGAATTGCCAAATGTGATGAAAAAGTAAAAATAGGCCATGTTGGTGGGGCTATGGGAAGACAGATGCACTAACACACTGCTGGAAAATTCTCATCTGCCAAACATATATACTCCAGGGAAATCAAAGAGCAAGAAAGGTCCTACATAGACAGAATATGCAGAGCAGGAATTTCTGTGGCAGGAAAGAATTGTAAATAAAGTGACTGCTCATAAATTGGGGAATGGCTTTGCAAACTGTGTTGCATGAATGTAATGGAATATTTTTGCTTCATAAGAAATGACAGTTCAGAGTTGGAGTTCAGAGACATATGAAAAAGATTTATATGGACCAATGCAGAACAAAGAAAGTGGAATCACAAAAAAATATGCACAATGACTACAACAAATCCAAATGCAAAAAGTACAATAAAATTAAACTAAGTGTATCTACCAAGCAAAATATCATAGAGAGAGCTATGAATTAGGATGAGAATTGCTGCTGAGATGATTAGAAGTTCAAAGGAGATAAAATCCAAGAAAAAAAGCCAGTAGTAAAGCCTATGACCTCAAATTTCTATATACAAATGCACACAATTTAACCAATATGCAGGATAAATTATAGGTCTGAATGCAAGGAAGCCAATCTTACTTTACGGGCATCAATGAGACCTGGGGATGAGACTCCTGATTGGAATGTAGTTCTGGTTGGGCATACATTATTCAAAAGAAATAGTGATGGGTGTAAGGCAGGTGCATAGCATTGTACATTAAGATTTATGTACTCAAATCCAGGAACTTGAAGGGAGAAGCACGATGGAATGCATTTAGGTGAAGATAAGTGGAGGAAAAACAAAAGCAATTCTGTCATTGGAGTAATTCCAATTCTGCCTAGCCAGAAAGAGATGCAGAATTCAGGAAGCAAGTCACAATCTAGCACAGAGGCATGATATAATAATGATAGAGACTTCAATTATTCTGAAATCGGCTGGAACTCCTCTCTGTCTACCCCTCTGTGTCTCTCTGTCTCTATCTCTCTTAAAAACAAAGTATTTTTCACTTGACTTAATGCTAATTTCATCCTTCAAAAAATGGAGGAACCAACAAGGGAGAAATCAATTTTCAACCTGGTTCTCCTCAACAGGAAGGAACTCTTTGCTGGCTTATAAAGCACAAGATCCTTGTGGGAAGTGACACTTCCTCTTTGAGATGGTAATAGAGAACAAAAGGAATGCTGGACATAGTTGGACATGTGCTTCAGATTTTAGCTAGCCATCACACTCTAGCTAAGAGGGTGATGCTCTGAGCTTTCCAGCACAAAGACTGAACTAGGACCTCGGGCTATATACACAAAAGAACCTGATTTTGTGCACGAAGGAAAATGTTTACCACCTAAAAAAAATGTACCACCTAACTGCCAAAGAAAGAATTTTATATTTATTCTGGAGATAGTAGGGAGCCACTAGAGTTTACTGAATAAAAAGAGGGTGATATGGTCATATCTATGAATGCAAAAAAGGACAGCCAGTGCTATAAAGTATAGCCAGGAAAGAGTGCCATCAGGAAGGAGCTAGATCTCAGTGAGTTCCAGAATATGGAAAAGATCAAGAAAGAAAGAGGTTTAAGAAAAGGTTCAGAATTATGAAGCAGGCCTTCTAGAAAGCATAATGGAAGGGTCATGAGGGAGGGAGAAGGATAGGGGTGGTGGCAATGAAGGAGAGGGGAGCTGGGGTTGGGAAATGGCATTTGTTCATCAGTAGTTAGGGGTTCAGAATCATTAGCATGGAGAGAGTAAAAGGAAATGGGAGTATGCAAGCATTGAGCAAAGAATCCCTACAATTTGTGAATAGGGAGATGTCCATGGAGGGAGATGGATGATTAGACAGTTCAAGGGCTATGCTGCATGACAAATTGATGAATGTGGAATTATTTGATGGTTGGACTCAAAGACTGATTGTTAATGGTTCAATGACAATTTAGAAGGACATCTATAGTTGAATCCCCCAGGATTCTATGGTGGGATTTGTGCTGATCAATACTTCTGTCATTGGATAGAGTCATAGATGAATAGGTGACTTTTTTATCAAATTTCCTAAGGATACAAAATTCAGAGGAATGTTTTGATAACACAGACAGGATCCCAAAAGACCATTACATTCCAGAGTAGTGGTGTTAAACAAAAATAGAAATAGGTTCCTGGAGGGCATATCAACTTGAAAAATGACAAGTCAACATTATCTATGTGGTGTTATATTTTTATTTATTTTGTTAAACATTTCCCAATTACATTTTAATCCAGCTCCTGCTGCCTTCAGAGTTTTGCAACTCTGCAAGCCCACTGCCTATGAATCTGACAATCTTTAGTCTAGAGCATTGGAATGACACTATTAGGATGAAATTTAATAGGGATAAAACTAAAGCCTTACTCGACTTCAAAAAATCCACTTCACAAGTGCAATAGATACTTAGATAGCAGTTTGTCTGAAAATGATGAGGATTTCAGTGGATGCCAAGCTCAATGTGAGTCAAGGCAAAGAAGTCAGCCTGATCTTGGGTTTTAGCATCTAGGAATAGGAAGTTGGTAGTCCCACTACAATGCTGCCCTTATCACATTACATCAGAAGGGCTGTGTTCCCTTCTGAGCTCCACAGATTTGGAAGTACATTGATAAACTGGACAGTATCCAGAGGAAGGCAATCAGGATACTGAAGCATCTTGAGTCCATGCCATTTGAGGACCAGTTCAAGGAAGAGAGGATTTCAGTATGGAGAAGAGAAGGCTCAGGGGAGACATTATAGCTATCTTCAAGTACTTAAAAAGCTATAATGTAAAAGAGGTAATAAATTGGTTCTGTTTGCCCTCAGGGGGAAGAAACAGGATGGATGGATGGAAGTTATGAAGAGACAAATGTATAGTTGATGTCAGGCAAAAACTTCCTAACATAGCTAACCAAAAGTCATATAGGCTGACTAAGGAGGTAGTGGCTTCCTTCTGGCCTCAGGTCTTCAGGCAAATGTTGAATACCCAACCACTTGGCAGTCACACTGGACTCATTAGCCAGTATGGGTTGGATCAGATGGCCTCCAATGTCCCTTCTAACTCTGAAATTCTGTGATTCTGTGACTCATGAGTGAACCAGGGGAGCACTGGGCTCCATCTCAGGAATCTCATAGTTGACCTTTCTCCTGATTCTTGATGAGCCAAGCTTCCCATCTCTGTCACCTCATCCTTCTCATTGTATATCATGGCCAGTGAAAAAATCCCATTTTCTAAACCTCCCATGCCTACTACCCCTCAACTCCCTCCACCCCAGAAATCTCTGATTAGAAATCCACCTTTCTCAGAGTGCTCTTTACCTATGCATCTCTCTTTAGGGTCAGTGAAGGATCTGTTCCCCGACTCAGAAGTATATCCATCCTGGCAGGTACAGAAGGTGCCATTAAAACAGCTGGAATGCTTAGGACATTGAGGACAGGAAGCTACAGGAGAAGAGAGACTGTCAGAGGGGTCCCCTGGGTATAAGGAACAACTTTTTAAAAGTCAGGTGGCTTCCATATTGTAAACCCGTGTTCTCAGAGATATCACCAACATGAAAATGAGAGATCCCCTCGAGAGAAAAATCCAAGGGTTAGACAAGTGCTCCGTGGCCTGCCATGGAGCAGTGGCCTAGGGAAGTCCATGAAGGTCCACTCTCCATACCTTAGACCCCTCTAATGTCAGTGCTGTGAGAGTCCTTAGAACAGAGGATATGAAATGTCCAAGGTGGAAGGGATTTAAAGATCTCATAGTCCAACTCCCTTATTTTAAGAAAGGGTAAAGTTTGTCCAAAATGGGAAGAAATCTGAGGTATGGTGGAGTCTGCTAAAGATAACAGGGGTCATTTGTTTCATTTCACAAAGGACACAGAGTCCATGGCCTATTCCTATGGAACAAACTTTTCCTCCTGCTCAAAAAGCCCTTCTCCGGGGTCTGGCACTGAATAGGGCAAGTTCTCAGTAGACTTACCTCCCTGATTCTGGACTGTAACAGTTGCCAGCAGGATGAAGAGCCCTGGAAGAGAGAGAGGTAGAGCTGAACACCAGGAGAGAAGGTGGAATGAAGTCTAAAGCCACATGCATGCCCAGGACATGCCTATTGCATCACAAAATCACAGTATCACAGACTTTCCAAGATGAAAGAGACCTGGGAGGACATCTAATCCAATGCCTACATGAACAAGAATCCCATCTGTTATACATCATACAGACACTCACCCAGCCACTGCTCTACACTTTCCAGTACAGAAGAACCCAACACTTCCTGGAGCTACCCATTCCCCTTTGTAGGTCTTTAATTAGGATGAAAGTTCAAAGACTGAGAGGTGGAAGGGACCTGTTATGTCATCAAGCCCAAATTAGGTAATCAAATGGGATATTTGTAAAATGTTTAGCACAGTGCCTGGCACGTAGGAGGTACTTAACAAATGCTCACTGCTTTTCCCACTCTAGTCTAGCCCCCTGATTTTACAGATGAGAAATCAGAGGTCCAGAGAGGTTAAGAGACTACTGGGTCACATAGCCAGCAAGTGACAGAAGCAGAATTCCAAGCCCGCCCTTCTGCCTGAAGATGTTTGAACCACGGTTCCCCCAATCATTAGAGATTTCCTTCTACAAATCCTTAATATGTCTCTTGACAAATTCTGTCCTCTGCCTGAAGTCAGACCTTTAAGGCCCAGCAGAACGGGTGTAATCCCTTTTCCCCAAGCTAGCCCTTCAAATACTTGGAGACACTTGTCATGTCCCCCTGAAGTTTCTATTCTCCAAAATAAACACCCCCAATTCTTTCAATTGATCCCCACAAGGCCTGAACTGAAGGCCTTTCACCAGCCTCTTCTCTCTCCTCCTCCAGATGATCATCATCAAAGACCGTCCAAAGAGTGACCCCCAATGTGTGACTGCCACTGCTTAAGAGGGAGGCAAGCCAGATGAACGGAGGATTCAATGTCCAAGGAACTGAGTTTGAATGCTAGTTCTTCTACTTTCTGCCTGTGTGACATCTCACAAGTTCTTCCCCTCTTTGGGTCTCAATTCCTACAATTTCTCAATTCCTAAAACAAAGGCATTGGACCAAATGACCTCTGAGTTTCCTTACAGCTCTGAACCTACAACCCTGAAGGAACTGCAGCACCAACAGCCAATTAGGAAGAAGCTAGCTCAGTTTTTCTTGGGGTGAGGGAAGACTAAGAAAGGTAATTACCTTCAACCTCACAGAGTCAACACCTTTTATCTGATATAGGGAAACAGGGATGCCATTGACCATGGAAATCAGGAAATAATCCCCCCAAAACTCAGCTTAGGTCCACATCCTCCAGCAATGAGTTTTAACTCAGGCTACTGGCAAGTGGCCAAGGGACTGAGCAGATTTGGGGTTCATCTCTCCTCCTGGTCCCTGATCTCCACCTGGAGAAAATCTACAAACAAAGCAACAGAAATACACAGAATAGAACAGAAAGAGCAGTGTACCTGGCATTGAGAAACCCAACTCCCACACTAGCTGTATGGCCATGAAGAAATCTGTGGGCCTCAGTTTCCCAATCTGTAAAATGAGGGTAATAATGCTTCTAATACTAAGTTCACTTTGTGAACTTTAAAATATGAGAGGAAAGTGAACTCTCATTATTATGGGATTCTAGAATTGAAAGGTAGAGAAAAGTCATCTAAGCTAACCTTTTCATTTCACAGACAAGGAAACTAAATCCTGGAAAGAAATGACTTACCAAAAGTCACATGGGTAGTAAGCAGTAGAGCTGAGACTGAATCCCAGATATTCGGCCTCCAAATTCTGACCACTATTCAATTCAACAAATATTTATTAACCACCTACCATGTGTACCATGTATTTTGTTAGATACTAAGGATATAATGGGAGCAGCTAGGTTGTGCAGTTGATAGAGCACAGGATCTGAAGTCAAGGAGATCTGAGTTCAAATATGACGTCAGACGCTTACTAGCTATGTGACCCTGGGTAAGTCTCTTAACCCGTTTTTGTCTCAATCCCTCATCTGTAAAATGGGGCCAAACCACTCCAATATCTCTGCCAAGAAAACACCACAAACAAAGTCCATGGGGTCACATAGCATCAGCCACAACGGAACAACAACAAAAACATTTACATTCTTGTAGGGACACAGTGTGTACACGTGAATCTATACCTAATACATATAAAGTAGGAATAGAGACAGGACCTAAGATCTCACTGATACAAGGGAATTCCTGAATGGGGAAACTCTCTATACTAATGCAGGTCAACACTTCTCTGCAATTTACAGTAGCAGAGAATTGCCTAGAGCACTCACAGGTTAAGAGACTTGCTTTAAGGGCAGTGCCTAAGCCCAGCTCTTCCTGGCTCTGGGGCCGGCTCTCTCTCCCCAGAGCCATACAGAATATAGTATAAAACAATTTTGAGAGCCAGAGAGCAGTCATTGGTTGGACAGAAAAGGACTCTCATAGAAGTTGGCACCTATGCTGTGCTTTGAATGGAGGCAGGGCTTCTAGGATGCGGACGTGAGAAGGCAGCATTGTCCAAACAAGGAGGACCTCCTATACAAAGTCATAAAGGTAGGAGATGGAATGATGCATGGGAATACATTAGGCCAGTTTGATGACAATGGAAAACATGGGAAGATTTCTACAATGGGAAAGACTAGGAAGGGAGATAGGAAGTAGAGGGTTTTAAATGCCAGACTGAAGATACTGTATTCGAGAGGTAATAGGGAGCCATGAATGAGGTTTGAACTCTACAATATTGAACAAGTTAGATATTTAAAGAGAGAGTCAACAGATGTGGTGGCACATGTGTTTAATCCCTACTACTGGAGAGGATGAGGCCGGTGGACCACTTGAGTTCAGCAGTTACAAGTTGCAGCAGGTGTCCACATAAAGCTGAGAGGTGTCCACATGAAGTCCAGCACCAATACGGTGAACCCCAGGGAGACAGCATTCATTACACTGCCTAAGGAGGGGTAAACCTGCCCAGATCAGAAATGGAGCAGGTCAAATTTTCTGTGCCAATCAGTATTAGGATCTAACTTACATGTTGCCCCTGGACCTTCAGCCTAGACAAAATAGGTTTTGTCCCAGTTTCCAAATAAAGGTTAAGGGGAGAGTAGGATTGAGGTTGTAGGAAAAGAAGAATGAGATTGCTATTCTTCTTCCTTATTACCATCATCCAATGGCCTTTTCTCAGTCCTCATCTTTCTTGACCTCGATTGCATTTGACACATCACATTTGACCACACCTTCCTTCCAGATTCTCTCTTCATTCTGAGTTTTTAAGACCTTGTTCTCCTCCTACATCTCAGACCAATTCTTCTGAGTCTCCTTTTCAAGGACCACTGCTTGCCCCTAGAAGTCTACATAGCCCCAGGGCTCTGTTCTGGGTCCTCTTCTCTCCCCTTTCTCTATCCTCCCCATTTATGACCTCAGTCCCTCCTATCTGCTTAATTATCATTCCTGTGTAAATGACTCCCAAATCTCCCCATGCAACCCTCATCTCTCCCCTGAGCTCCAGGTCATCTTCATCAATTGCCTGCTAGACACCTCCACCTGCATGTCCCATTACTCAACATGTCTAAAAATGGACTCAGTCTTTCCCCTTACTCTCCCTCCTCATCCCCCTGCTTTCTAACTTCCCTATTTCTGCTGAGGAAGCCACCAGCCTTCTAGTCACTGAGGTTTGAAACCCAGAAGCCTTCCTCAACCACCTACTCCCCCTTACCACCCACTTCCCCAAACAGTTGCCCAGTTTTTTTGATTCTACTTCTTATAACTATCTTCTTCTCCGTCTCTCATCACTGCTCACATGGGCTATAATAGTCCTCTAATTGGTCTCCTTATATCCAATCTCTCCCCTTCCCAATCTATCGCCCACACAGCTGCCCAAACCGATGTTCCTAAAGCACAGGTTGGATCATGTTACTCCCCTGCTCAAACATCTTCAGTGGCTCCCTCTTACCTCTAGTATGGAATTCTTACTGTGCTGTTTATCACTTAAAGCCCTTCTGGTTCTAGTCTACCTTTCACACTTTCTTACACATTACTCCCTTTCACACACTCCATGGCCCATCCAAAGAAAGGCAAAAGAGAAGGAGCTCACAGACTAATGGGGAAGAAAACACGCAAAAATAATGTACAAATGAAACACATACAGATTGAATTGGAGGTAGTCAGCAGAGGTGGGTGCTGGCATTAAGGCACCAGCCCAGGGATGAGCTCATGGAATCCCTGAAGCACTTTCCAGCATCTTGAAGGAATATTTGCTGACAACAGTTCTCATTTCTCCAGGGTGTTAGAGTTTGCTTAAGTGTTTTCTTCACAGCAACCCTGTGAAACAGGTAGGGTTTGGACTCCAATTCCAGTTTTACTAAATACCACCTTCTGACAATGAGTAAATCACTTCCCTTCCCCAGGCTTCAGTTTCCCCATCTACACAATGGCAGCAGGAAAAAAGGAGAATGTGTGGAAGAAATGATCATTAAGGGGCCTTCCAATCATAACTCTTATGACCCTATTGTTATATCATCTCTTTTGATCTCTACAACAACCTGGAGGGAAAGGTAATAGTATGCCCACTTTACAGATGAGGAAACTGAGGTTTCTGATGGTCAAGAAGTCAGAATTGGAGGACTGAAACCAGGACTCCTGACCCCCACCCCCAAGGGCATTACTCTTTCCACTATACATCACAGTGTGTTTTTTTCCTTGCTTATTTCTCTTTTATGGATAGTTGATTTTAACATTTTGGTTTTAAGTTTTTCCCCCTCTTCCACTTACTTTGGTCATAAGATCATAGATTAAGAACTGAAAGGAACCTTAGAAGTCATTGAGTCCAACCCCTTCATTTTACAGATGATGCAACTGAAGCACAGAGAAGTCAAGAGACTTTCCCAAGGTCACAAGGTGACTGAAACCCAGGTCTCCCTGACTCCAAGTCCAATGCTTTACTGACTATACCATATGCCACTCACCTCATCAGTCTATGAACTCTTCAAATTGGAAGGGAGCTTAGGCCCAGATGTCTCATTGTACACAAGTGGAAACTGAGACCAGAGAAGAGAAGAGATGGACTCAAGTCCCGGACTCTTCCCATTAAACTATGTTACTTCTAGAGATTTTAAGACTCTACATAGTACATCCCACGGGCAGGGGATGGTATCACAGAATAGCAGTGTCAGAGCTAGAAGGAGCCAGGGTGTCCCTCTAGACCAGAACTTCTTAATCTTCTTGGTGCCATAGACCCCTCTCCCTTTTGGTAGTTAGTCTGGTGAAGTCTAAGCACCCCATCTCAGAAGAATATTTTTAAATGCATAAAAAAATTTTAAAGTATAGGATTACAAAGGAAACCAATGGCATTGAAATACAGTTATCAAAATATTTTAAAAACGTGTTTAGAGAATCCAGATCTTATAAGAACCTCTGACCTAGTCAATCCTTACATTTGTAACTTGGTCTCAGAGAAGTTAAGTCACTATCTCCAGGACACTCAGCTAATTAGTGACCCAGGACTAGGGCATATCTACCTCAGTGCATAAGATACATAAGTAGGTATTCAGTGAACATCTGTTGATGACAGTGATGGACAATAATCAATCTATTTCCCCTTTCCAAAGACTGTCGATCTTCTCTTTAAATATATATTGCCTGTAACTCACTGAAAATGTTATTCTACATATTGAGGTTGAAGAAAAGCAGGCACACATCTCACAAACAGTCTTACTGCTGCCTCATTTGTCTTTTCTAATGACATAAATACTTCCTAGTAGATCCAGCATTAAAAGGAAGTTGGAAATATAATTATTTGTGACATTAAGAAACAGTTACCCAGTCAAAACCTTGGTAGCATCCTAGACTCCTCACTCCCCCACACCCCTTTTATCTAATCAATAACAAGTTTTTGTCTCATCTTCAGCAATGTGCTGGTAAATGTTTAACAACCAGTTCTCAAGAGAGTAAATTGTCTGCAGGACACACTTTTAATCTGCATTATCAGCATTTTCTCCATCATTTTTTAAAGTCTGGACAATTAACAAAATAATAAATCAAGCCCTGATTTATAGCATTTCCCAATTTTTGAAGTGTGAATATGCACACTGAAAATTTAACAATCAGCTCTCTTGAGACAGTTTGAGCTGGTTCCAACACAGTCCATCTTTTACAATATCGTTCATATCCATCCCCTTCTCTCCACTCCCACAACTACCAGTATTGCCACAGCCTTCTCATTGGTCTCCCAGCTTCAGGACCCTTCCCTCTCTAATCCATCCTCTACACAGCTATCAAAGTGGTTCCATATGCTTATGAGTTAAACCACCTACTGGGCTATCTATTGCTAAAAGCCATTCATAATCTGGTTCCAGTCTACTTTCTAAGACTTGGTATATATTACTCCCCTTCATACGCTCCATGGTCCAGCCAAACTGGTCTCCATGCTCTTCCTCACAAACAATTCATTTCTCTGTACCTTTACATAGTTTTTCAGCCCTGCCTAGAATTTTCTTGCTCCTCATTGAAGACTCTAGATGCCTTCAAAACCCATTTTAAGTGTTATCTCCTCCAGGTGTCTTTCCTGATCCTTCGAGGGATTAGTTCCCCCAAGCTCTCCAGTGAAACTGCCTTGTATTTACTTTGTAAACATGTGGCACTTTGTATACATATACATGTTCTTTTCCTTCATGTAGACTGTAAGCTCCTTGAGGCCAAGACACGTATACATGTACATGTTCTTTCCCTCATGTAGACTGTAAGCTCCTTAAGGACAAGAAATGTATACATGTACATATTCTTTCCCTCATGAAGATTGTAAGCTCCTTAAGGACAAGAAATAATTTGATTTTGTATTTATGCCCCCTGCACTTAGCAGAGTTCCTGGCATATGTTGTTGTTGTTCAGTCATGTCCAACCCTCTGTGACTCCATTTGAGATTTTCTTGGCAAAGATACTTGAGTGGTTTGCTATTTCCTTCTCCAGCTCATTTTACAGATGAGGAAACTGAGGCCAACAGGGTTAAGTGGCTTGCCCAGGGTCATACAATAGGTAAGTGTCTGAGGCCAGATTTAAACACATGAAGATGAATCTTTCTAATGCCAGACCTGGCACTCTATCCACTGTGCTACCTACCTGTCCCCCCAGCCCCACCCCAGCACATAGCAGATTATTGATAGATGCTTGTTAATTGATTGATTGAGTATTCTGAAAGGTCATCACATAAATGTTAGTTTTGCCAGATGCCAGGAGCAATGGGGGAAGGGTCAGTGTGAAGAATTGTGATACTTAAGCCTTGGTTTTTCCAACAACATTAACCTGTTATAATATCACCCTTGTCTTTCTAGCATTCTTGGTCATCACAGAGTCCCATGAAAGAGAGCATGGGAACAAAAGACTCACATCCCTACAAGGTAGGAAAAAAAAAATCTAAAACTGGGGCTGGATACCAACAAGGGTAATAGACAGGGCTGGTTTTTTTTTTCACTTCTAAAATTTTTACTGATATGTTTTATTTTCCCATCACTTCCATTTCAGAATATAGCCCTACCCATACACCTTTCCAGGGAGCCATACCTTACATGAATGAAAAAGAGACAGAAATAGAGAGGAGAAGGAGAAGGACAGAGACACACAGAGACAAAAATATAGAAAGAGAGAGATAGTAGCTTAACAAAATTAAGCAAAGTATGAACTGTATTTGATAGAATATTTGTTTTCAGAACCATATCCTGAAACAAAGGAACATTTTCTATTCTTCAGGGTCAGCTCGATCATTATAAGGTAACAAACCTTTTGAGAATGTAACCTGATGGCTTAGGAAAATTCTTTCCCTGTTCTGGGTCTCAGTCTTCTCATTGATCAAATGAGGAGGTTGGTCAAGATGACCTCTAATACTTGATTCTCGCACTGACATTAATTAGCGGTGCAATGCTGGGCAATTCCCTGCCTTTTCTAAGCCTCAGTTTCCTCTTCTGTAAAGAAGAGGTGTGGGTCCAGAGAACCCCTAATATTCTAATATAATGTCCTGGCATGGTCACTAGCTGGGTGACCCCAGACAAAGTCTTTCCTGTCTGGGTCCCATTTTTCCCTTTTGTAGAATACGGATAGAAATATTCATGATACCTGCCAACTATGGTTGTTCTCAGGGAAGCATTTTGTAAACCTTAAAATACTAGAGAAATATCTATTATTATGTACAATTCTATTTATCAGGAAGTCCATGGAAGTATTGACTAGTTCTTTTCTAATAATTAGATCACAAGTACGGTAATGTGTATTGAAGAGAAGTAATTTGCCACTCACCCCAAAGAAGCAAGAACCAGCTCTCAGCCATGGTCCCTGGTAGCTGCTGTCTGAAAACCAAGAGGGAACTATAGCTCCTCTTATCTTTCTCTGATGTTTCTCAAGGGTATGAGTGTGTGGGAGAGATTGAGTAATATAGTTTACAGGGCTTCTCTTCACTAATGTAATTGAAATAATACATTAGCAGGGCTAACAACAGGAAAGTATTTTGAAATCTACATGATGTTCTGAACAGGATGCTTTCATTGCCATTGATCCTAGGGTGAAACTTGAATGGTGGACAGGGGGATGAGGGAATCAATGCATGGAAGGGCACCACACCCACCACTGTCCAATCCCATGCCATCATTATCTTTCAATCCATTGCATCAGGGAGTACCTCAGTCATGATCTCTTTGTGAGTCTATATCTACAAAGGGCTATGGGAATTATCATGAGGACTGAACCAACTTGCCAACTCACCTCAATTCTGGCCATCTCTAATGTGTATCCTGAAGATGACAACCAGATTGGTGAGGTAACACTGTGAAAAAAAATATATGAACTAAGACTACCTGGCACTTCTGGTGCCAAGATGGTGGGGTGAGGAAGGAACCCTCTGAAAGGCTCCCAAATTCCCCTCCAAACAACTAGAAAACCACCTCAGAATTGATCTAAGAGCAGGGAAGGAGCTTACCAGCACAGTAAGGAAAGGTCTGGCTCATTGGGGTAGGAAGGGAGCAAGGTACAAGGGCAACAGTAGCAGCAGCCAGCCTCACAGCAGAGGGCCTGCAGTAAGAATCCATTTCTGGAGCAATCACCAGCGAGGTCCTGCCCTCCTGCAAACCAGCAGACTCCTAGGCAAGTGAGCAGTCTGTGCAACACAGCACAGCCCCACCCCAGCGATCCCACCTTCAGCACAAGCCACCAGTGAGGCCTTGACCCCATTGCTGACCAGTAGTGAAGCCTCGCCCCAGGGCTGGTCAACAGTAAGGCCCAACCCCTGGGGCCTTCCAAAAGAGAGACCCTGTTTCCATAGCAACCCAACAGCAGAGCTTCATCCCTGGGGCAGACCAGCAACAAAATCTCTCCCCCAAGAACAGTCACAAGAAAGACTCTGTTACCATAGCAACCTATCAGCAAGGCCCCACCTCTGGAGCAGGCCAGCAGCTAAACCTCACACCTGGGGAGGCTCCATCCCACCCCCACTATGAGCCAGAAGGGAAGCCTACTCTCCAGAGAAAACAATCAGCTAAGCTCTGGAGCTCAGTGAAAACCAGCAGTAAGACCCAGAGCCTCAACACAAAAACTTGAAACAGTGCAGGACCAGAGCCCAACTCTCACATAAAAACATGGAGTCACAAGAAAAAAAAGAGGGCAGAAAAAACTGAGCAAAAAACAAAGAAAAAAGATATTATGGTGATAGGGAGGATCAAAGCATAAATTTAGAAGAGGATAATAGTGTCAAAATGGCTACATGTGATGCCTCAAAGAAAAATGTAATCAGGTCTCAGGCCCAAAAAAATTCCTGGAAGAGCTTAAAAGGATTTTAAAAAGCAAATTAGAGAAGTAGAAGAAAAGTTGGGAAAAGAAACGAGAATAATGCAGGAGAATCATGAAAAAAGAGTCAATAGCATGGGAAAAGATATACAAAAATTTACTGAGGAAAATAACTCTCTGAAAAATAGAATTAACCAAATGGGAAATGGAAGTACAAAAACTCACTGAGGAAAATAATTCCTTAAAAAATTAGAATTGAGGAGCAGCTAGGTGGTGCAGTGGATAGAGCACCAGCCCTAAAGTCAGGAGGACCTGAGTTCAAATCCGGCCTCAGACCAAACACTTGACACTTACTAGCTGTGTGACCCTGGCCAAGTCACTTAATCCCAATTGCCTTTAAAAAAAAAGTTAGAATTGAACAAGTGGAAAACTTGTGACTGCATGAGACATCAAGATATGATAAAACAAAATCAAAAAAGTAAAAAAAAAAAATAGGAGAAAATGTGAAATTTCTCATTGGAAAAGCAACTGACCCTGAAAACAGATCCAGGAGAGATAATATGAGAATTAATGGACTACCTAAAAGCCATTATTTAAAAAAAAAAAAAGGCTGGACAATATCTTTCAAGAAATTATCAAAGAAAATTGCCTTAATTTATTAGAATCAGAGGGCAAAACAGAAATTTAAAGAATCCACCAATTACCTTCTAAAAGAGGTCCCAAAATGAAAACTCCCAGAAATATCATAGCCAAATTCCAGAGATCATAGATCAAGGAGAAAGTAGTGCAAGAAGCCAAAAAGTTACAATCAGAATTACACAGGATTTGGTAGCTTCCACATTAAAGAACCAGAGGGTTTGGAATATGATATACCAAAAGCAAAGGAAGTAGGATTACCTCCAAGAATCACCTAACCAGCAAAACTGAATATAATCTTTGAGGGGGAAATGGATATTTAACAAAATAGAGGACTTTCAAGCATTTCTAACTAAAAGACCAGAGCTGAATAAAAAAAATTTGCCTCCAAATACAAGACAGAAGGAAAACATAAAAAGATTTAAAAAAGAAACAAGAAAGACAAAACATATGAAATTCAACAAGGTTAAACTGTTTATATTTCTATATGGCATGATGTTTGTAACTTTTAACAACTTTATTATTATAAGAGAAATTAGAAGTAGTATGTGTAGACAGAGGGTGTGGATATAAGGTGACTTTGATGGGATGATACCCCAAAGAAAGAAAATAAAGGAGTGAGGAAAATTGTACTGGAAGAAGGAGGAGGAGAGAGATTGAATGGAGTAAATTATCCCACATAAAAGAAGCATGAAAAGCTATTGTAATGGAGGAGAGGATGGGGAGGGGAGGGCTGGCAAACAACACTTAAACCTTACTCTCATCAAAATTGGCTCAAAGAGGGAATAACATACACACTCAGTTGGATACAGAAATCCATCTTACCCTATAAGGAAGTAAGAAGGGACGGGGATAATAGAAAGTGAAGGGAGAACTGATAAAAGGATAGGTATGCTGGAGAAGGTAGTTATCAGAAGTAAAACACTTGTGAGGGGGATAAGAGAGAAAGGGATATAAAAAAGTGAAAAATAGCATGGAGAGAAACACACAGTTATCATAACTATAAATATGAATAGGATGAGCTCACCCATAAAAAGGAAGTAGAGAGCAGAATGGATTGATTAAAAACCAGAATTCTACAATCCATTGTTAACAAGAAACACATTTGAAGCAGAGAGATACACACAGGGTATTAATTGGTTCAATATTAGGAAACCTATTAGCATAATTGACCATCTCAATCACAAAACCAAAAGAAATCATATGTTTATCTCAATAGTTGCAGAAAAAGCCTTTGACAAAATACAGCACCCATTCCTATTAAAAACACTAGAGAGCATAAGAATAAATAGAGGTTACCTTAATATGATAAGTAATATTTATCTAAAACCATCAGCCAACATTATCTCTAATGCGGAGGCTAGAAGGCTTCCCAATATAATCAGAAGTGAAGCAAAGATGCTCATTATCACCTCTATTATTTAATATTGTACTAGAAATGTTACCTACAGCAATAAGAGAAGAAAAGGAAATTAAAGGAATTAGCATAGGCAATGAGGAAACAAAACTATCACTCTTTGCAGATGACGTGATGTTATACTTACAAAATCCTAGAGATTCAATGAAAAAACTACTTTAATTATTACAACTTTAGCAAAGTTGTAGGATATAAAATAAACTCACATAAATCATCAGCACGTCTATATATTATCAACAAAGTCTAGCAACAAGAAATAGAAAGAGAAATTCCATTTAAAATAACTGTAGACAATGTAAAACACTTGGGAGTCTACTTGCCAAGACAAAAACAGGAATTATATGAACACAACTATAAAACACTTTTCACACAAATAAAGTCAGATCTAAACAATTGGAAAAATATTAATTGCTCAGGGTAGGCTGAGCCAATATAATAAAAATGACAATTCTACCTAAATTAGTCTATTTATTCAGCTTCATACCAATCAAACTATCAAAAATTATTTTATAAAACTAGAAAATAATAATAAAATTAATCTGGAAGAACAAAAGCTCAAGATTCTCAAAGGAAGTAATCTTGCAGCATTCAGCCAAAGAACTCAAGAACAGAGGGGACGGGGGCAGGGCACCAAACTCCTAGGGTGGGAGGAGGCTATACCAGCCTTGAAGGAAAGGGAACCAGCATCCAGCTAGGGCCAATTCTATCACCTCAGAAAGCACTTGGTGCAGGGAATGAAGTTGGTAAAAAATGAGTTGTCCAACATGGGAAGAGGCTGAGACAGTTTTGTGGTGTGTCCCTTAAGGGATCTGCCATTAGAGTGGAAGGAGTCAGAAAGTAAACAATAGGAGAATATAGGAGGAAAATAACTGAAATTACCAAAGATCTCAGGAAAAATAACACATTTAAAAACTCTAAGCATAAGCAGATGAAACATCAAGGAAGGTATTAAAACAGAAAGTAAGATTGTCACCAAGACGTCTAAATGAGTCCAAATATATCTAAATAGTATTGCCAAACAAGAAACATTGAACCAACAAAGGAAATTGATGAGGCAAGGGGCCATGTGGAGTCCCCAGACAACATGGAACCACCACAGAATGCTCCCAAATGATTCAAGAGAGAGAGATGAATTGTAAATGAAGAATCTATGACCTGCACAGTAGAAATAATTGGAAGAATAGAAGCCAGATAAAATCAACAAGCATTTATTAAGTACCTTCTGTGTGGCAGGCATTGTGCTAATCACTAGGGACACAGAGAAAAACAAAATGAAAAGTTTCTACTCTCAAGGAGCTCATAGTGAAGTGGGGAAGACAATATGCAAACAACTATGTACAAACAAGAATATATCCAGAATTAGTTGGGGATAGTCTCAGAGGGAAAGCATCAAGATTAAGGAGGACTGAGAAATATTTCCTGCCTAAGGTGAGAATTAGCTGTGACTTGAAGAAAGACAGGAAATCCAGAAGGCAGAGATGAGGAGGGAGAGAATTCCA